AATTACGTAAAATCAGGCCGCTGTAGAAGATTCGACGAATTCAACGGTGGACTATGTTGAGCGACAGTCCGTAACCGTTTCTGATACTGATTAGTTCGGTAGCTGGCGGTGATTGATACGGATAATCACAACGTAAGCCGACAGTGCTCCAGTTACGTCAGCCGTGTTTCAGCCACATTTGTTTGGAGTTACATTTCTGACATAAACAGCCCCCTCGGACAGATGAGCAAGCCAAGCGAAGAAACTCCGGATGCAACCCTTCCGTGCAAATCTTGGTGTCCGTCATCCCGACTATCCGTGAAACTGGATAACAATTAAAGTTGCAGTTAATTTTATTCTGAATAAAAATAGGGCGATTACGGTTCAATTATACGTGGCCCGCCGCTTACGAAAATTAAATCTCGAGGAGAAGTTGGCTCGTTCGAGTTTTTTAGGGTCAGGGAAATGAAATTTTGAGAAAAACGCTCAAGTTGGTCGCCCGTAACATGCTGCGATGTAACAAAGTTTTGGTACTGAATTTTCGGTGATTAGTTTGAATATGGAAATGACTTGGAAATTTGGAACGCCCGTTGTTTCGATAAAAATGGAAAGTGTCGTAAACGTTTCGTCGAAGCTCGAACGGTTGATTGAGAGTTGGAGTGCCGAGCATGTTTGTGTAAGACAATCGGGTTATTTGGACGAATCGTGGCAGGTATGCGGTCTATTGTCGTAGATTTCCGGTACAATGGAAGTAGCCTTCGCCACGGATAGCCACGGGAACGACAATAAACGCAGATTAGCGGATAGTGTCGACACTTTCACCCTGACCCAGCGGCATAATTACCTTAATCGGGAGCCACGAGCTTCGCCCCATTAAAATCGTCTCGTCATCGTCGCGTCGTTCTTTACCATCGTCAATATCTCGCTTCATTAGACTCGAGAACCTTTTTAAAGCCGAAGATTTTTCACCCCTTCAGTTTCAAATTGTACGCTAAAGCTTGTCATCGGATACAAATTTAATTTGTAAATATAAAGCTAGCTCCTTAAGTGTCCACGACTCGCGAAGATTTACGGATCTACTTAGTGCAGGCGTCGTTAAGGATCGAAAACGATTTACTAGAAAATGGTCCATAAACTTGCAAGCTCCTCGAGCACGCGAAAATGTTATCGTCGAGATCTTTTCGCTCCTTTCCTGCCCGTTCGCTTGTTATTCTCGATTATTTAATTCCGCTGGAAGATGGGAGCAACGCGATGTTCGATAGAAATTATACCACGGATAGGAAGTCGGTCGACAGATAAAAGCCATCGGGAAAATATACAGTCGAGGACAAAAAGAAACACACCCGTTTAATTTCTCAGTTTTCTCTTTGTAACAGTTTTATTCGCGATACAATTTTCTCGGGGAAGAAGTATAAATATTACGTATATTCAGTCAATGGAACATAAAATAGAATTTATCTGTTTTTATCAATATTCCATATTGCGTAAGACCTCCTTCATTCTGTGAAATTCTTTAGTTTTTTATAATATATTTACTACATTTAATACTACATTTTGAATACTCCTTGTGGAAAAACATACAAGGTGGGTTAATCTTTTGTTCCCGACTGTACGTGCAAGCGAAATGCCCAACGAATCCTTTGTCCCAGGTAGAAAATAGAAATACCGTAATGTTTCTCGTGGCCAGCGATCCGATCCTTCCTTTATCCTCTTCCATTGATATTTAATCCGACGCTGAATTTCATTTCCCGTTTCAAGCTGGTCGATACGTACACGGCGTCTCCGCTCGGAGGGATCGGATTTATTTTTTAAACGATGCCTCGATATCTATTAAACCAGTGATTCTTCGCCATTTATCTCCACCCTCTGGGCACTCTAATGGCGCTCGTCCTTTACGCGGAATAACGTTTCTAAATACGAGTTCAATCGATGTTTTCCAACCAGCGTTGTAAAGACCCTACTTGCATTAGAATCTTTCGAGGCTCTTTTGATCGTAATTCTAGCAGTCATTAGACCACAGTTTGAGAACCACTCTATCAAACGATACAATCTTCGATATTTGAATTCTACTTGCCGCGCAGGATGTTGGAATAACCGTCCTTTCGTTGATACGTTTCGATTTAACTCTGACATTTACTGAAACATCGCGCAGGAACTCCGTTCGGTCGATGTACCCGTAATCATTTTCGCTCGAAACGGTTCCTCCCGACAAATAATTCGCAATCCGAGCGGGGTTATTCGATTTCGAATCGAAATTGCACGCTCGAGGACAGGGAGCATTTAAAGCGGGTAAACGAGTTAGAAAAATAGTGTCGACAGAATTCGTACCAGATAATGAAGCTTCGCTATATGCAAAAAACCATTTCGTTATCGGTCCGTTCGTTACGTGCAACGATCGATCCAGACCCGTCCATACTTTCATTCGACTAATAGATAACCGATGAAACGAACGCGCAGCAATTTATTCAATCGGGGGTTACATTTTTATCTCTTGGTCGCAAAATCTCTCGATACCGATTCGAATATTAGTTTCCACACAACGAGCAACCGACGGACGATCGTCAATTCTTTTATTCGATATTGGGAATTTTTATCTAAATAGAAACTTCGTCGATAAATTACCACGCGTTATTTATCAATCGGTATCGAAACAAAAAGCAAAAGCATCGTCCAGCCGCGGTATCGAATCGAACGATCATTATCGTCGCGTAATAGTATTGGTTTCGTCGCTAATTACAGCCGTCCCGTAAGTTAATTACATTGTCGGGAACCGTGGTATCGCGTAGATTAGATTTAAATGAACGAAATCTAATAACTCGAAACGCGAAATTCTTGTTTCCCGGTTGCGGCTGGCCCGTCGTCGACCCGCGTCACTTGGTTCGTTTCCTGCAACGCAATTAATGCTACAGGGATCAATTAATTCTCAAAATCCGCGTCCACCCCTGCGACGTTGACGCGTACGACGTGATTTAATCCTGACAGGTATACATCCCTGACCGGGCGGTTTTATTGGGGTCGTTTTACGGCCGCTTTCCTGCAATTTCCCTGATTTTGCCCCGGGGAATTCTCCGCGCGGAAATAACTTGTAATAACGAACGGTATGAACAATCGCGGCACGGAATTCCCGTTCGAACATTCTTTTACGCATTCTTTCGTTTCCCCGACGAGTATTGTGCATCGATATGCCCGCGGATAGCCCGATAACACGTTCACTGTCGCGGTGGTCACCGGTGACCGATAATTTAAACTCAGGATGGATGGTTCAAATAATAAATAACACTGCTTTATGATAAGGTTAATGTTTAATACGTAGAATACTTATTTATTTTATTTTTAAAATATTTACAAATTGGGGGTGGCAAATGAAGTTTAAGAACTGCTTTGAGCGACAATCGATGGTATCATAGGGTAATCGAATGTTTGGATGGTTGAAATAATAAATAACACTTTACTTTATAATATAGTTAATATTTAATACGTAGAATACTTATTTATATTTTTTTTTTTTTTTATTTACAAATTGGGGGTTGCAAATGAAGTTTAAGAACTGCTTTAAGCGACAATCGATGGTATCATAGGGTAATCGAATGTTTGGATGGTTGAAATAATAAATAACACTTTACTTTATGATACAGTTAATGTTTAATACACAGAATACTTATTTATTTTGTTTTTAGAATATTTACAAATTGGGGGTTGCAAATGAAGTTTAAGAACTGCTTTGAGGGACGATCGGTTTCGATGGTATTATGGGGTAATCGAATGGGTTTTTATTACTTGTCGTTGAGCAGGTAAAGTCATAAGCGAAAATGAAGCCCAAGCAGAGAAAGGCCCTTTAGCATTAGGCGTGTCTCGGGTGAATGTAAAATTTGCATTCACTGGCGAGCGCGTAATTTACATGATCGTTTTGTATAATAAACGGGGAATCGATATTATTTAATGAACGGTAACCGTGGGAGGAATTGTATCAGCGTCGGGAATGATGGAATACCATACGAATCGAATTAAATCAATTTTCGTTTACCATTTATTTATACATTGTATTATATATTTCCGTTTCACGGTTCTCCGGTTAATAATTATAGTAACAAATAGTTCGAAGGAACGCTGGAGATAATACAAATGTCGGTTACATGGATATAATTTTCGTATTAAGGTAGAAAAACATTAACACTGAGAAATATTAATAAAACACGTTCAGAGGGGTTTTCACAGCTTTAATAAATATTCATTGCTTCTCTTAATTATTTTGTCAGATTTAAACACTGAAATATGCGCCTGTGTCAAAGGTGAAAACCACGGGTTATCCATTTTTATATTCGTGGACATCGAGTTAGCTGTTCGTGTATGATGGATATGAACTTAACAGAAAACTTTTTTTAATCCAGAAGCGTCTCTTTGATTTTATATTTAATATATCTATTAAATACAGAGAATTTTACCCAGTTACTAAAATTATATTTCGAATAGTTGAACCGTTTTAATTTCAAGTAGGTCGAAGCATTACGAAACGTTACAAAATTAGAATTATAATTATCGAACCGTCTCGATCTTTGAAGAAGCAACCTACGTGCGCTTTCGTCCATCCCCACCCTTCCGAAATGTCGTTGAACGGGGAGGTTTACTCACCCCCGATGGCCCGCCAGGTACAAAAAGGCCAGGTTTTGGCATTAGTCATTCACTTAACAGTGAAATTGCAAACCGTCCACGTCGCGTTCGTGAAGTTCTTCGGCCTTTGTCGTTTCAAACGTGCTATGATACAATCTGAATCTCTCAGAAATTAAGAAAAACCTTTATTGTAAAAATTCACGGTCGACGAGTGGGTTAGGAAATAAATAAAAATGAGCAACTTTGTGCAACGTGTGTTGAGGAAAAATAGCAAGAGCGAGGTTGGTGTCTCGACCATCTCGTTATTTATCAAAGTTTCTTACCCCTTTTCTATTCGTTATGTAATTGAAAATTGTGCCCCTGCATAATTTACATTTTTCTGTTGCAGTTGAACGCGGAGAACGAGAAAGAAAAAGAGTCGCGGACGACGGAGCCGGTGAGGTCGGGTCATCCGAAGGGAAATTGGATCAGGAAGCTTGGGAATTACTCGACGACCAAGCACGAACTTCCTGGTAGCTTCTCGAGGTTCAGCGTGACGAAAACCCTGCAGAAAAACAGGCTGGGCAACAGCTACGAGACGATATCTTCTCGCGGAACATCCGAGTCGTCCCAGTCGCTGGAGATGCCGGACCTGGAGAGCATCATACGCGAGTTCGAGGGTGGTTTTCTGTTGCCCAGGAAGCAGGACGCGGGCACGGGCGCGAGCAAACAGAAGAACTTCGTGAAGAAGATCGTCGCTGCGTTCGAAGAAAGATACAAGACGTACAACGATGTGAAAGTCGAGCAGGAAGCCAGAAACGACGGTGAAAAAGTCAGCCAGAGGTCCACGCCGACGAAGACGCCGAAAAGACGGTCCGCGATCTTCAGCAGCCCCTTCAAGAGCGCTTCCGGTTCACCAGACTCGAAGGAAAATTGCGAGAACTCGAACGACGAGTCCGGGATCGTCTCGACGCCTTCGAAGAAGAATTCTGAGCAGTCGAAGGTCTTCAGGAGGTCTGGAATCTTTGGTTCGCCTTTCAAGATGGCAGACGACGAGGACGAAGCTGAAAATGGAAACGGAAGCTCCGTTTCCTCGACTCCGTCGAAGAATAAGGACGACACGAAGGGCTCCAGGAGATCGAGGATCGTAACGTCTCCCTTTTATCGCAGTGAGCCGGATCTGGAGCGTCAGGACGAGTCCAGTCGAACGCGGAGTTTGTATTTCGATCTGACGGAGACGTCTCTCGACGACACGAAGACCGTGGAGAGCATCGATCTCGAGGCGAGCCTGCCAGAGCCGGACGAGAACGATCTCCCGAAGACCAGCACGATGATCGACGAGGGCAAAGGGTGCAAGAACGAAGGTCGAAAGGTTTCGTTCGCCGACAAAGCGCCGAAAATCATCGGAGCGTTCCTGAAGAAGCCGATCGAGGTCGAGGACACGTCCATCGATTGGATACCAATCACCGGGAAGAAATTGCCTCGAAAAAGGTCCTTGAAGAGGCTGCTCGCTTCGTTCACCAGCAGGATGACGTCCGACAAAAAGAGTAAGATGTACTCTTCCGAGAGGAATCTCTGCGAGGAGTCGTCGGAGCGTCACGATTCCGGATACGACGAAAGATCCTGCTCCTCGTCCTCGCTGGCCTCTCTGGTTTCCATCACGGAGGCCCTGCTGCATCAAGAGAACTCCTACGCCGTGCCGGAAAGAAGAGGCGCTCTCAGAACGTTCCAATCAAGGATCCCCAATGTGCAGGACGAGGACGAGGCGTTCTTCGACGCGTATTCCACCACTCGGTGAGTTCTCAGTTTATCTATTACTTTTCAGCGAACCTCTGCTCGTCGAGTGAAACTAAATTGCGCCGGAGTTTCCGTTCCCGTAATTAACAAAAACCCCGTTGGAAATGTTGCAGCAAACTGGGCAAAAAGAGGCTGCTCCTCAACGAGGTATCGCGGGAGGAAGTGAAACTGGATCTCGGGCCGACGTATCCCTCGGTCGCTAGCTTCGCGACGATGTCCCTGAATCGAAGATCCATCTGCAAGAAGGTCCACAGCCCAGCGTTGGAGCGGTCTTCGTTGACCAAAGTGCCGAAACATCCGTTTCTGAACGGCATCCCTAAACATCCGTTCGTCTCTATGACGAAGATCGACAAGTTCGAGGACACCAGCGATTCCGAGTCGGTGGTCGTCAAGAACGACCTGTACGAAGTGGAGTTCCGCAGAAGCTGCGTGGATCTGACCACGACGACCTTGTTCTCCAAGCGTTCCTCCACCTGCAGCGACTACGACGTCCCGAGGAGGTTCCTCTCGAAATCGGAGACAGAGATCCCGAAAGCTTGCCAGTCTTTCGCGACCGGAAGCCACGACGAGACAGTATACGACGTTCCAAGGGCGAGCAGTTTGGAGAGACCCAGATCCGGCGAGTACGACGATCCGCTTCCGCTTTCGTCGATGAAGCGAAGCGCCAGCATGACCGATTCGATCCTACCCGACGTTTACGCGACCCCCCGCGACAAAACGTCCCACTACGCCACCATAAAACCGAGAAATAATAAGATGTACTTTTGCGTAGACGTGCTGCAGAATTCTGGCCACGATTTATCCGTCGCGGGGAAGAGATCCTTTTAAACGACGCCACAGCCACCAAATATTTGCACAGTCATCCGTTGTCAAGGATTTCGTGAGTTTGATGTGAACATTAGCGCGAGAGGTAAGCTATACGCAGGATGTCCCGTAAAAATTTCGAAAAGAGAAAGAATTGTACGTAATGTTAGCTAAAAAACGATTTGTTTCAAGCTAGGAAACCACGAGACACCCTATGAAACTAGTTTACCCAGGATTTTTTGTTTTAGGATAGGCGAATTATTCTCAGATTGAACTTTTTCTTAATATCCGAAGTCAACGCGTTGATCGGGAATAATTTGCGCGCGAACGAAAGTACAAATATTTTATAAATTGATGATTAATGTAGCTGACGAGTGTTTTAGATTTTAGCCCTGTTGGAGAGTGCGTGAGCGGTGAAATTGGATGTTTTGGGCGACACGTTGGAGTGTTTTGTACTCCTTTTGGCTGCCTCTGGAATGCGTGCGTTTTGCAATTTTATCGCGCGCGTGTGTGCGTCGAAAACTGCTTTGGTTTTACTGCTCGCGCGTCACCGGAGTCTCGTGTATTTCGAGAGAAATATTCCACGAGATCTCCGCCCCTCGGCGAACGCGCGAGGATATTTTGTTTTAATTTTTAATCTCGCCTGAACTTCGCGAAACTCCCGAAATGGAATTTCGTGCGAAGAGCGGTCGAGTTAACAAGACCGACGAACGCGCGGAGTCGCGTGTTTCGACGTTGCTGTGAAAAAATTAATATACGCGCGTTACACAGTAGGATCCACGGCGTTTCCGACCGGAAACGCTTGCGCGAGCGACTCTTCCGTGACGTTAGATTTTAGGAGCGATCGTCCTGTTCGTTTTCGACGGGAAATGTTACACGTGGACAGGAGTTCGAAACGTTTAGTCTTAAATATTTCCGTAAAGAAATATCATCGATCAGCGTCGAGACGTTATACCTTTGTGATCTCGCAACGTATCAGTATTACGCGTTAAGTGCCATGTAGAATTAGATAAGAACTAAGACTAACTAGGTATATCGTCGACGTGATTGTTCGTTAGAGCAGAACCTAGAGACTATGGAAATATGTACAGTTTTATTTACCACGCTATATGTATACGAGCATATGTTGTATTTTTTTAAATAAAAGTTCTTCCAACGTTGCGAAATTCGGACGTCTGCGTATCTTCGATCCCTCAACGGATATTAGTCAGAGCTTCGATATTGCGTTAGTCAGAAAATTGAAGTTAGGCGGGATTAAAGGTAGCGGTGCACGGGTCAATAATGCTTGTCTCTAAACTTTAACCATTTCCAACGAATGACGTCATAGGTATCCTTGCCATTTTCACCGCGGATGCTCAGCTATACGTCATAGCCATACTAAACGTTTTCACCGAGGACGTCACGAGCTTCCAGTGACGATACAACGACGGACTTACGACAAGAACAGTTTTGAATAAAATTAACAAAATTTACTCGACTCAAAGTTCATTTCCAAAAATGTATTACTTGTTAGCAAATGAAATCTGGCGAACTCCCGGTGGGGAGAGTCATTGGCTCGTCCTTGTTCCGTAAACGTGAGCGACGATGAAGGAGGTTCCTCCGACGTTATGAAAGCAAATGTCTGCGGGCCCACGGGACCATAACGGAGGAATCTCACGGTGGAGAAGTACACTGACGTAGAAGCTCGTTTCGTTTGCACCGGGACGCGACGTGATGTGGGCGAGGAGCGTGGGTTGTAACGGGTGGCCATTAGCCTACCGCTGAAAGCACCTAGTGCACCAGAAATGCTCACGTAGGTGTTCGTGTCAAGGGCGAAGGATGGCGTGTAAATCCTTTTTAAAGAAACCGACGTCCGAATTAACGAGTGGGAGAATCAATGATTCACCAAATCCTGAATCTTTGAAAGCCTCCATTTCTTTACGATAAAATAAACGCAAGAAAATAATGGCTATCAGTTTACTTAAATTGCGTTTAATCCACTCTAACGAAACGTAAAGTAACTCTGCTTGAATTTCCTTAACATTTTTCAACTTTTTCGAACTCGATTATAATACCTCCCTTATCGAAGAGTAAAAAATCGCGCGATTTCGCCGATTTAACCTTTCTCTTCCGTGGATCACCCGTGGCAGTCTTGTACGGGATTAAAACTTGCATAAATCGCTTAACAAGACGAGGATAAGCTTTCCGCAGAGTCTAAGATCGACGAAGTTTATCCTCAGCTAGGTCCGCGTCTTCGATCGAATTTATGTTGGACAAATAAAAATAAATCTTGGCAGTTCCGTCGCGTTTACATTGGACACCAAAGTCTCGTGAATTTTAATTTTAACGGGATATCGTGATCGATCGGTAGAAATTTGAATACATGCTAATACGAACGATTTTTTACCAGAGATAATTGCGTTTCCCAGCACCGTAAATACAATTAGGTCTCCCGCGGCGGACAAGTTTGTGCAGCGTCAATGTTTTCGAGTAATTTATCGCAATCGTTCTCCGGGCCTGATCGATCGTATTAATTCGAAGTAATTTACGAGCGACGCGAAACGTTAATTCAGCTGTAACGAGTTCGTTACTTTGTCGCTGGATTGGCGTTACATAACAAGGACAGCTCGAAACTAAGATTTATGGAGCATCCTCGTAGAAAACACGCGGACACGAACTTACAAAAAAACACTCTATCTTCTCTGATCTTTCTAAATATAAATCCACTTCTCAACGATATCGTGTTTTCAGTTTCTCGCGTGGATTCTTTGATTTGAATCTCTTACGGTCCCGTTGCATTCGTTCGTAGCCAGCTAAATTTATTCCCGATCCCTTCGCCGAATCTATAATTCCGTGCTCGTTAAAATTCACGAAGTTTCGCTACAAAAGTCGAGTACGCGATCGAAATTAATTAGCCTGCCGCGCAACGGTGAATTTCGGAACGCGTGACTTCGAATTTATTTCGGCAACTTAGCGTCGAGATAGCTGCTTCGAAACGACGAGTTATCGCTGCGTTTGATTAGATTCTATTTTCTGGAAAACGAAACGATGGACGCGCCGATGCGACGTGGCACGGAACGCTCCGAGATGACTTTAATGGGCCAATAAAGCGACGTGTCCGAAGAAGAATTCGCATGCAGTCGTGTGGCTTCGACGGAAGGTCGACCGAACGAGAGAAGGAGCAATTTTCTAAGCCATCAGCCTGGAAAATTGCTGCAACGTGTTCGCGTGGACGGTTGTTCAGGGTCAATGACTTTTTTTATTTTTTCTTTTACAGTTTTACTCCAAATTGCGGCACTTCGAAGCACCGGGGAATAGTCTCGCGCCACGGACTTCCGCCAAAGATATTCGACCACATGTTACGCTAACTATCGTTCGATGATCCCAAAATGGGTTCAGCCGTAATAATAATTATCGAATAAATATCAGGGTATAATTTCTGGCAACGTACATTAGTAAAATATTTTATTTGAAATATACTTAGTCGAGATTTCACTTTTTAAATCGTAGAGTCTATTACTTAAAACCATTTTTATAATACACTTTATCTCTGGGTACGGTAAGCTAGCGGATCGATCGCTCAAACTGGACGGATAATGTTTCTTTTCCGAGGAGTCGTTAATTGATAGCCCGTACGATCGATTATGCAAATGTTTAGCCGAGTAAAAATTACATTGAAACTCATCTTTAAGCAATACCCTCGCGGTCATAAATATGAATAGGAATACTGTTGCAATAACATCGATGTCCCGTTGATCTCGCTTGGAGAAACATTGGCATCGATCCGTAGTAAATTCCCAGCCATGTTGGACGCGCGTCAAACCGTGACCGATCAGTCGATCCGATTTCCTATCGGAGACGTCCATATTCCTCTTTCAGATAAATTTCATGATCGACGGAACGCTAAATAAATCTGTAAAAATCGCGAGAACTTTATCAGATGGTATGGAGATAAATATTATTTAATATCAACGCTGTTTCTCTATCTAGAAAAATAAAGCTGTGGATGTCCCGGACTTACCATTATCAATTAAAAATGCATCCGTCTTGCGATTTGACTGTCGACGCAAAAAAACAAGTAAGGAAAACAGTGGGGGTGTTGGAGATAATGGAAACATCCTGTACACGAGTACCTCGCGGATTTTTGTTTCAGATCCAACGCCGCGGAAAAGCTCATCGTGTTGCGAGTTCGGCATTTCAAAGAGGCACCTTTCGTCAATAACGAACGCAATTCCTATGCAAATCTGCCCGCGAGCAGATTTCGCCCGTACGCGAAAAGCCTGGACGCGCTACTTACCGGAGGAAAAGTGGTTACAAGGAGGATATGGTCGGACGAGTCGGCACGACAGGGAAAAAATTGTGAAAAACGCGCCACGCTGTCGTGGAACGAATTGATTTTATTGAGTCCTGTTTCAGGCTGGAAACTGCAGGAGGATGATCAGGTATGTCGACTGTACCCCGATGATCTGAAAACAATAACAATTCCGTTAAGACTCCTACACGAAGTACATCACAAATGGGAAACAATTCGTATACGGATCGACGAATAAAACAGAGATTCAACGTGGCAAGTAAATTGCTGTAATGTTATTGGACGGCCGCAAATTGGAACGAAATTTTGCCCGTCTTTGGCGCGCGCTGGTTCAAACAACCCATTAAATCGTTGTTCGATGTTGTTGGTCGGGAGGCGAGTTAACGGAAGTTTGGGTAATCGGAATATTTAATGAAACATCGAGGGATGACGTTTGAAATTCAAAGCTCGTTATTGCGTTTCGAAACATCGACGGTGCCCTCCCCCTGTTCGAGGCGGGTACCCGGAGTCCAGTGTCGCTGGGTTCCGTTAAAGGAACTCGATTTGTCGGTGAAATCGGAGTCGCGGAGTCGGGAAGTGGATTACAGAAATCCCTCGGAGGCTTTACGAGGAAGCAATTTACGATCGGTCCGGCGACGTTTCAAAATCATGGTTATTAAGCGGCGTCCAATTAATCCTTCGCTTTTGTGAAGCGGCGCGTGAATATCTGCGAAACTGGAACGACTGCGATAAGAACGGTTCTCCTGCCCGGGCGTAGTTGGTTCGAACGTCAAAGGGTAGCAGGGGCGAAGGGGGGGGGGCGGAGAAGGGTTCCGCCGTTGTTCGCGATTAAAAGCGTCTTTTACGCGAAGATGGTTCGAAATGCATTTACCGAGCACAGAAGCGGCAGATTCACGTCGAAAAGCCCGCCGGCGGAGAAACGGAGACGCCTGTTCAAAAAATGCAACGACGTGCGAACGCTCTCCTGCAACCAACACGAATCGATTAGTCCAAAACTCCTATTTTTCGATTAATAAGCCTAGTTTCCTGGTTCGATACTCACGTCGTGTGGAAATTTCTTCATTACTCTGGCGTTCCACTCGGTGATAATGGCGCCCATGGAATTCGCCTGGAATTCGAAATACTCTAATTTGCTCGTACGATTGCGAGAAAACTCGATCGGGAGTTGCGCGAAAGTTCTATGGAAATTTCGATTCGATTCCTCGGGAGAGTCGACGTTAGCGATTGGAGCACCCGAAGTTGCCCGCCAAATATTTTGACCGCTCGAGGCTAATCGCCTTATTACGATGTCGCGAATAATGAGACAAGATCGTTCGATAAGATACCTTCCGCTCTCGAAGTTACGGAACTCGTAAATAATTCGCGTTGCATCTGATTAAGACGACGATACGAATGTACAATTACTATAATGGTGATTCGATTCGCTGAATGGGAAAAACAAACTTGTATCTCGTGAATTTAATGGTTTGCGTGTCACGTTGGAAACAGCGTGACCGTGTATCCCCGATTAGAAGAAAAACCGTATTTCGATAAAACTGTCGACGCAATTAATGTCCCGCGGATCCTGGCGTTGATCGATCGAACGAGTCGATAGCCTGAGCGATATACCTCCGTGGTCGCATTATCGCAGGCAATGTGGAGGGCCAAAAGCTGAGCTATGTAGACGATGAGCCAGACCAACATGTTGAACAGCATGCGCCAGGGTATTGTCGACCAGGGCGTCAACATCACCCAATCGATTATGAAGTACAGGTTGCTGACGCTGTGCACGGACAAGTTCCCCAGCCAGAACAACAACGACCACCAGTAGATACTGTTGAGCGTCTCGGCGATCACCATTAATTCGCTATGAAGATCCTGGACAGTCTTTCGTGCGAAAACAACGAAGACGTATCGTTACTGGAACACCTATGGCCGCTACAGCTAGATCTAGGAAGAACTCTCAAACCTTTCTGCTGACGGTGCTGCTCTTGTAACCGATCTTCGGCGGCAGGTTCTCCCTGGCCATCAGGTTCAGCTGACGGAAGCGTTGGCCGATGAAGGTCACCATCCCGAAGAACTTGTACACGGATATCGCGGTGCCCAGGTAAATGCACATGTAGCTGATGTTGAAGGCCCATTCCTCGGAATACGCGTACATGCCGCTGAGATTGATCAGAGTCCAGGCGATGGTCTGGGTGATCAGAAGCGCCCAGACGCAGATCTTCGTCTTGATCTCCTTCCGCGGGTAACCGAGCCTGTCGAGCTTCTCGTCGAAGTCTTGAAGACCGTTCCAGATACGGGCGAACGACCGTCTGTTCAACGCGGTCGTGATCAGTTCGTACACGGCCACCAGGTAGTTGACGATCACCTGCGACGAGGACGCTCTTGAAACATCGACTCGATTAATTTGTCTAAACTGTTCGTCTACCTTTGCAGTCTCGACCGCCGCCACGATCGACTTCTCACGTTTCGTCACGATGAACTTCATGAACACCATGTATATGATGTAGGAGTAGAGGACCAGAAAGACCAAGGAAAACACCAGGCAGACGTTGGAGGGCACTATCTGATCGCCCGTGAAATCGTACGGCGCCAACCCGAACACTTTCATTATGCAAACGGCGGGGTAAACTGCCGAATGTAATTGAGAGTCCGGACCGTGGTACTTGCTAGGATGATACTTCTTCTCCGCGGACAGTTCCGCGAACGTGGTCTCCACGTCGAAGGGTTTCACGCGGATCCTCGCCCTCGGTAGGGCGTTCTGTCTGGAGTAGTGCTCGGCGAAGTCCCTTTGGAACAGACCCATCTCTTTCATCGTGCAATTCGACTTGGACTCGATCGCCGCTTTGCCACAGCCGCGGGCTGCAAGGGGAGGGAAAAAAACAGAGTTGTAATTCGTTTATCGACGAGCGTGCGAACTAAATTATACAACGCGACGGGGCGCCATTGTGGCGAAACTTTAGTCAATTCGAAAACATCGGCGGGAGGACCGACTGCGTCAATATTGTCTCCGCAAACACGTGTCGCTGCATACATGCGCTCCCTTGCATACCAAACGTCGTGTCTTTATGTTTGTCAACTGTTTGTAATGAGAGGCGCGCGTGTAAAATGGAATATTTATCAATTTCAATCCGTCGATCGAGAAATGGAGCTTTGATCCATTCGAGGAAGATTAAGCTGATTATTGGGTCCATTTATCGTTGTTGAAACTAAAGATGGTCGGTTAGAATCCTCTTCCTGTTAGTAGAAGCGATCTGGAAAGTAGTTTAAACGCGCAATAATGAGCAGGTAGGACCTATATTTTCGATAAACAAGCTGGAAAGTCCCTTCAACTATAGAATGGGAAAATTGTGGCAGAGATCGATAAATTAAGGGCGCGAAATGAATTGCTCCGGCTCTAACCGGCTATTAGTCACCGCTTCCGGTGCACGGAACGAGCGCTATCGATTTGAAATATTAGTGAAAAAAAGAGGTGATTTCACAAAGAACCCCGTTGAACCGGTTCCTCGCCTGTAAATTCGTTTAACGCCCCTAATTTATGGGTCCGTCGCCAGTCGTTTATTCGCTAACGCGCTCGGGGACAACAAAACCTAAAGTAATAACAAATAAATTTAACGCGTATAATTGGCGTTCGCGGCGAAATGGATTTAATATTTGTCAACAGAGGAAGAGACGGCTTTGGCCATTGTCCGAAAATCAAACGAAAAATTGAAAATCCACGTCGACGACGGGGGGGAAATTGAGTTCGATCGGGAAATGAAAATCTCGATAGTTACGAGCGTGCATTTGCAAAACAGAGTTAGCGTCACAACGAACGAACGAAACGATGATCAGTATGGTCGGATGCGTCTTGGAGAATATAATTTTGTGAAAATTGCGTTCGCGTTTTCCGAGTTTATCGAGTCGGTGCAAATATTGTGTCCCGATGGGAGCGTATGCATACTTTATCGTAGAATACCTGTAATCGAGAAACGTAGAGACGTGTTTACGTTTATCAGGTACAACCTGATATTTACCTGCTGTTTGCCGTTCATATCTTTTGAATTAATGCGAGGAGAGGTGAAAAATATGATTTACTAACGGTATTCGCAACGATCGATAGACACGCGAACGATCCAGCATAGCATTCCAAGGGTGACGTAGGCGATAGTTTAAGTGGAATAAATTATTGTGCATGATTGGTCTTGAGTTCAAGGATTTTTCAACATCATCATTACGATTGCAATACGACGTTTTGTATCGAGAATATAAAAAAGGGGACAAGATCTGTTCAAATATCGCTAATTAGCGCGAGACGAGGCGCGAAAATGGATGCTGAATGGCCCTGTAACTGCGCGATGCCGTTTCCGGCGACGTGGAATCTCGATGGGAGAACAATATTCTAAATGCAGGAGAACTGGCGCGGAAAATAAAATTCCGAGAGTGCTGTGGTGATTGAAATCCGAGGAGCCTCGCGTTACGAGTCCAAGAATCTTGAAGGCGAGCTTCCTCGCGATTATATAACGTGGTACAGGAAGCAGAGACGACGTAGAAACGATGTCTGGAAGTATTTAAACTTTAACATCGCGCCATTCGAAGTTGGGTCACTCGTGACCCGTCCTCAGACGGTCGAAGAACGAAATCGTTTAAAAACTTGGCCAGACGTCCTCCCATTTCTCCTATCCCCGGTATAATTGAATTTCCAAGTGCGCTCCGCACGAGAGGAGCATTCCAATCGGATCAGAAATCGCTTCGAAATGGAAATCCTCGAATCTGATCGTGGATTCCCTCGCTCGAAACAACGACAATGGCGCACTGAACAGACGAACGCCGAATCGCGAGCGGTACAATGGAATTTATGATTTGTGTCGAGCGGAGAATATCGTGTTTGAATGTTCTTCCATTTAAATCCCTTCGATCCAGGGTAAAGAGTCTGCATTTTTTAGATAGTAAAATCGTTACGGTGAAAGGAATTCGACCATCGAGTAGCGTAAAACACTCCCAGCTTTCGTTTTTCCACGTTCACTGTGAATTCACTGCGGTAGAACCAAAGTGCAAGGTCTAAATTCGGTTCTAAATTAGCTTCCATCTTTCAGCTTCACCGTGGATGATCCAAAGCGAGGGGGCGTGAATTCGGGTAGAAGAACCGTACCTGATCGACGTCGAAGAGCAGGTTTCCTTTCGGTGGGATGCGACGTAAACGTCGGGATGGAACTGCGTGGCGAAATCATCCCCGATGGCGCGACGAGTGATGGAACCAGTCACCGAGCAACGGCACAAATAACACCAAGAGATCAAAATGGTTCGCGGTATCCCATCGGTCGCGATAAAACGGAATTAAAGCCGTGAGGGTAAACAATCGTATGGGTATACATTTGCCATCGGTCGTGCCGGGACTCCTCCGACGATCGTCATTTGGATACTAGTCCAACGAGCGAACGATGAATTATTGAACCAGCTTACCAGGTATCTGTGCTGGTATCTGCCAGGAGGCGTTAATCGAGCACCTTCGATTATCCGCGATCTCGGTGTCGTCTACAACGGTTATTTTATTTTATTCCGTCGTTTCAACGATTGAACGTATCCCCTGGCGCAAATGAAAAATAATTCCAACCGTCGAACGAATTTTATTTTATCTTTACAAGCATTAAGGAATTGTTTCTGAGCTAGTTTCTGTATTAACTCCTCTTCTCATTGAAATTTTAATAATTCTTAAATGAGATCGATAGGATCAAAATTGCAGGTAATAAAACAGAGTTTTCCAACTGGTTCTGTATTCGAGGAGACTTGTATCCATACTGAATATGCGTAGGCGTGGAAAAACGAATGCATAAATGAAAAACACTTCGAAAGCAATGGATAAACGATGAATTTAATTTTTCTGACCGCGTGCGGGGGCGTCGCGCGAATTGCGCTGAAATCGAGCTGCACTATAGAACCGACACGTGTTGATTTCGTATGCAAAAGTCGTAAACAACCTGCACGCTAGCAGTCGTCGTATGTTGCTGATTATTTGCCCAGTCAATACGCGATTATTCGTTAGGGAGTAGTAGCTCCATTTACCTTTACACTATCGTCCATTGTATATCTGTTCCTGCATAAAAGAAACATCGATGATCTTGAAAACGGCGGCGAAGAATAAGAAAATATCCCAACGTATTGTATATCGTCTCCCGATAGCATTTAAATTGCACACGGAGTATTTGTTGTGGCTTCTCGACCGGTGGAAATATTTAGGTGGCCTGGTTCAGGCGTGAAGTCCTGCATATGGAAAGAGAGAAAAGGCGGGTAATATAAAGCAGAGTATTAGATGAAAATTTACGACGGAAACTGTCTCGTCAGGACGACGCCCCGGAGAAATGCAATTTAACTCGGCGCGCACGATGAATGATATTCATCGAGCGGTCAACACACCCCCGGACTACCCCCGTGCACGTCCACACGAGAATAAAACCTATTTTATCCCGGTTCCCTGGAAAATTGCTTCGGCGGATGAGCTAAATTTTTTGCATAAATCATCTCGCCCCGATACTCGTTACCGAGAGACCAGCTTGTCGCGCGACACTACAAGGGTTGAATCTTGTCCGTGGTAATTAAACGATTATTATCGACGTACCCGTCGATGTATCGCGAAGTTGCAACACTTCTGAACATGGTACGGAATCCAATACAGATCGAAACACGACGTTTCAATCGACGATCGAAAGTCAACGATGAATTCAGCGACTGCCTCGAAAGATAAAACCTTCGTCCTTCGAGCAAACCTTGATCCCCGCACGCGACAAATTACTCTTTTCACTAGCCAACAGAGACCAGAGGTATGAGAACCATGAAGGATGAACTCTTCAGATGGATCTGCGAGAAATACGCAACGGACAGCTTCCTGGACAGACGAATCGTCCGGGAAAAAGCTCTGGAGCTGACGAAGACCCATGGACTCAGCAGTAGGCGGCTTTCCTGATAATAATGTCGCGATTCGGCTTGTTTAATGTCGTGTTAAATTTTGGAAAGGTTTCAAGTGCTCGAACAACTGGATCACCAATTTTCTCAAGGACCATGGCTTCTCCGCGGACCTGACGAACCGCACCGGTCCGATATTCGGCAACTATCGGGACTGGATCGATCTGATGAGGTCCACGATAGTCAAGTACAAGCACAGCGATCTGTTTCACGCGGACGAGCTGACCATGTACTCCGACGCGCTCCCCACGATGATGGAGACCACCGGTTGTACGGAATTGCCGAGGAATCGGGTGACGGTCCTGTTGGGCTGCAACTCCTCGGGGACAACGAAACTGCCGCTCCTGATCTGTGGATCCTACCCGTCCAGGACAACGACCAAGGATCACGTTTACTGCCACAGCCAGGATTCCTCGATCAGCGACGAGCTGTTCAGCGGTTGGCTGTCGACCGTGGACGATCGTATGTCGAGGTGCAACAGCAAGATCTTGCTGTTCCTGAAACGGAACAGAGCACGCGCAGCTCGTGATTTACCGTTGACCAACACGAGTATCGTTTACCTGCCCGATGATTTCCCGCCGTACCTGCGACCGTTGCGAAGGGACGTTTTCCATTACGTAAAGATGATCTTCAGACGAAGGTTAAATCAACCAGCTTCTGTCCCTCGTTCGTAAATTAAACTTTCTATTCGTTTTCGAGTAACGTTCGAAATGTTTGCAAAAGGTACGCGGAAAGATTGATGCGGTACACCTCGGAATGGAACCTCCGCGACGTCCTGGAATCGTTGATCGACGCTTGGGAAAGGGTACCGCAAGAGACCATCGTCTACAGCTTCCAGAGGACGCGTTTCAGGATCGACGATTGCTTCATGCGAATCGACTGCGATTGCTGGCCGAGCTTGAACACCGGCGTCTCGTTCAAGAGGTTCGTGACGTTCGACGACGATCTATCGGACGATCGTTGGTCCGTCGAGAGGAGCAATCGACATCACAGTTACAATCTCAGAGCGAGCAACAGGGACGCGGCGCAAGTTAAGAAGGACGAGGCGAGTTGTGCGCCGCAGGACGACGAGGAAATCGACCGGAAACCAGACTGCGCCATGGTAACGGATTCCGGGGAACCCCCGGACGCTAAGAACCGAGTCGAAAGGCAAAATTGGCTGACGAAGTCTCGGAAAAGAGCTTACAGCGAGATTCAATGCTCCTCGAAAAAGCAAAGCGACGATCGCGAGACGATCGAAGACGCAAGCATCCCGAGTACCTTTGCGACGAAGGATCCGAGAGTCGATCGTTCGCGATCGATTGGCGACGAGGCATTCAAACGAGGGACGCATCAAAGACGCCGAGCTATCATAGACAAAGCTTTCGCTTTGACAACGTCCGGTAAAGCTGACTTGGCCAAGAAGCTAATTGACAATGTCTACGCGTCCAACCAAGAGGCCAGGAAGCACTTTGGTCGTCAAGACGATATGGAGACCGGATGCAGCTACGTACCGGAAGAAGAAACTGTGGAACCGATTCTTTCGAATGCGTTGGTCGAATCGGATCGGCCATCTACTTCCACGAACGACTGGGAGGCTCTGTCGGAAACCATCACGCAAAACGCCTACGAAGTAATCAGGAGCCATCCGGTCGAAGAATTAATCAAGGGAAACGAAACGTTATCGAAACATCTGGACGGTTTGGAGGAACGTTCCGACAGCAGCGAAAGTAGCGAGAAAAAGATGAAAACGGACCACGACTGGTCGAAGCAGTACGAAACCACTTTCGTTTTCGGTTTATCCGGCTCGCCGAATGCCACGAGTTGCTCCTCCGGGCAGCATCATGGCGACGAAAATATCGTCGAACCGTGCACCTTAAACGCGACGCCGTCTGCCTCGCCGAGAAATTAGAAACTCGTTTACGTTCGTCGTAGTCTCTTTTTTTAACGCGATAAAATTCTACCTGGAATGATGGAAACATAAATCCAGAAACTCATGACATGTCTGAACAAACATAACAAGCGAGGTACGCAGGTTTTCGTCGACCGCGAATATTTTACACTCTCGCTGATGCGGAATCGAAGTCCACGTCGCGGGAACGTTTTACAATTTACTTGGAGAAGGATCGAACGGATAAAAGAGTAACGATCCACGAACTCTGAACAGCTTTTTAACGTTGTCCGCGATCCGTCGTGTAACTCTTAAAAAATAAAGATAAATATACGTCGATATACCATTATTATTAGTCCTCGTGACGGGGTTCTAAATACGTGCAAAAAAAGGGTATATAAACGTTCATTCATTCCATAAATATTAATTCCGAATTCTGATCCTAAATAGAAATTCTGAACGTTCGCGCTTGTATTTCAAGTCCCTTTATTTCCGTTATACTGAAAAGTGTATACGTATAACGCTAGTCATTTCCTTCGTACGAGAAAGTGCATCCGTGGAGTCATAACACGTTTTGTGGCAACAATTCCTGTCGTTGTTGCTTCTGAATAATGCGAAATGGATATCAAGGTTGACCTGGCGGTAGTAGCGCATGCAGGCGATGCTGAAAGATTTATGACGTTATCGTTCGTCCGGCATAATAATTCAATAGTCGCGGCTCTGTTACAGATCGGATGTGACGCCCGCACGCAGACTCCATCGTAATTACCATCTTTTAACCATAGACTTCAAATACATTTCGATCTAATATTGATACGTCATTAATATTCGGATAAAAATTGTAAGACCGAGCTAGTGGCTGCGAATTTAAAATAGTTTCTTTAAATATCGGATTAATTTGTTAATAATAGCGATTGACCACTGGTTCCTTTTTTATCAGGTCGTACATAAATCGAGATCAATGAACTTTCGTGCGCTAAGATAGATCGCGCGTACGTGAGCTCGTAGAGTTTGGGGAAGTCGAGAAAGACAGACAAACACTCGCTCTCTTTCTCGATTCTCCGAAGTTGCCCGAAGTGAGCACGCATACACTTCGGCTCGCCTCGCCGTAAACCGAGGTCCGTTGTCCTGGTAACGGTAACAGTCTCCGTTTGGTTACCGGTAGAGTATGTCTTGGGTTAAAATGTGTATCGTTCAAAGTCTTAAATAGATAGATTTTATTTGTTTTTCGTGTCTAACATTGATTAGGAAAGACGGTCTAAATTATCATACTTTTTTGTATCCATATTTCAAGTAAGTAGGAGGTTAACAGATTTCATATTATAGTATAAAAATAAAACTTTATCATAAATCTATATGAAAATTCTTAAAAATTGAAATAATATGGAACAATTGCATATCAGATCTTGTAGTTTTGTATTTATTTCTAATACTTGCATAAAATTAATTAGATTCGTACGATTTACCTGTTTGTATTATTTTTGTACTTATTTCTAATACTTACTTAAAACTATTTAGATTCATACAATTCACCTATAGGCAGATCTTTAACTTTTTGTACAGTATCGAAAATCTTGTTTAATATATGAGAATGTATTGTTGACTTATCATCGTCTGCATTGATACTAATCCATGTTTTGTCTTTTAGTTTCTCATAGTTTTCGGCTACACGTTGTTGAACTTTAATATTTTCAAATCGTTCGTCTCCCCAATTACTACGCAAAGACTGATCTTTTTGGGATACTTCGAGTAAAATGACTAAATCCGGAGAAGGTAGACCCCTATCAGCTTCCTTGCACCAAGTTAAACTTCTACCGCTTGTAGCTGCCGTGTAAGCTGCACCTGAACTCGCATACCTGAAACAACAGTTATAATTTAAATAGCGAAGGAATTATTTAACCATTGTTTACAAAGCATAGTAACTATTTAAAATAATTACCTGTCGATGATTAGAGTAGTACCACTGTGCAAGGTTTTCAATAGCTCTTCTCTGCATTCCCATCGATTTGCAGAGAACATTAAATGTGCTGCCTCCGGAGGAAATTCTTGTTTTTTGGATAAAAAATTGTTTATTAGTGCTCCTATGCAAGTCTTTCTATCTGCAAACAAATGCAGTAAGATGTGAGCTACAGAGATTAATAAAATTAGTGGTTAGAAACATGTGACGCTAAGTGTTCACAGAAGAAAAAAAAGAACAGTTATAATTATGTATTTACTAGGGAAATTTCGCCCTGCCGCCGGAATGTTTAATTTATTTAAAGCCTCGAGTAACATTTTAACCTGAGTGGATTTTCCTGCTCTGTCGCAACCTTCGAAAACTATTAAAGCACCGCGTCCTGACGACATTTCCAAAACAAACGTTTCGTAAACTCGTTGGCACTCGATATTAAACAGTATTCACCGAATCGTAGACTTTCTGTAGAGTAGGTACAGTTACCACGTACTGACGGAACTTGGAATCGTAATTAATTTACAAAGTTATATTAATCACATTACTGTGTTGCTAGCTTAAGAATAGATATGTAAATAATTCCAAACGTAAACAATAGATTGGCGCTATTGTTGTTACTAGAAATCCCGCCTTTTTTCGCGCATGCACAGAAAAGATGACGCCAATGTAGTGCTCGGAGTAAAAATTGTTTTGCTTTTTCTGAAAATTATGCATGGTTTTAACAAATCAATAAAATACGCGACGAAAAGAATAATCCAGGGAATAATGTTGAACTAACTATATAGGACTAATAATGATTCTAATCTATTTAAATGCTCTAACCTACATCACCTATTGTCGTGTGTGAAAACCCGCCAAAATAGTTTTCTGATTTTCATGACGTAAATCTGTTTATTCACTTTTTAAGTTCTTGATTGTTATTAACTAAATCGATCGCGTCTTCTGTCCATTGAGTAAGATGTAGCAACAGTAAATGACCTTGGCGTAGACATAAATTTGCATGCTTCTCACTCTAGAAATCCTTTCAAGAGCTGTTATCAATTAAATCTTCCCCCGAATCAGTATCTTTTATATCCAATCCCAAATTACTCCTAGCTGTTTTCCAAAATATACATATTTTCGTTCTATTTGTATTAAAGTTGATATATTATTTTCTCGTATTTTTCTCTTCGTCTGTGCCCAAGGTTCCAAGCTAATTCAATTGTTTTGCTCAATGTTGTATTATCGTTGTAAAATAATGAAAGAAAATTGGGTAAAGTAATAAGCCACAGTCGTTAAGTTGTATGATTCTTTATTATAATAGCAATAGTAATGGGATAGTGGTAATATTAATAATATACAGTATACATTTCTCATTATCCGTATTTTCCCGTAAACATACATCGAACATCTGAACTGCGAAGTGCATTAAAGATATATCGTAATATGTTACATTAAGCCAGAATCGCATCGCTCATAAACCATCCTATACATACATAACATACAGTTCAATTAATACTTCTGTTCAACTTTAACGTTTAATCTTAGAGTCCTCTTTCGTAGTTTACTAGTCCACTGTAAGTATTATATCACTTCGGGAGCTTTTCTAACAGATCGATTGAATTGTGTTGCATCCCGAAATAGTAAACCCTTTTAATCGCGTACTTGTTGCCTACTAAATAATACATACAAAGTGTTATAAAATACGTGGCACAAAAAATGTACGGTTTTTTTTTTTTTTTTCTTTTCTTTTAAACATTTACTCAAATAAGATAAATTGAACTTAGGTGCTGCCGGAAATCTCCATTTCGTTCAAAATTCGTCATCCCATAGTGGAGAAAAAAAAAGGGAAATATACACTCGCGTGACGGAACGGATATTTCATTGGAAACGAATCAATGATGATTATAAATAGAGACTAAATTTATCGATGATAACGCAACCGGGGCGTAATTCGCAACGAAATGCCATTTTTCACAAAAAGAATTATTCTGATTTTGATAATGTATTTCGAGAGAAAATAACACCGTCTAATGTTGGTTGGATTTCATTGAACTACGGCCTTGTGATAATAACTCGGCGACTAGTTCTGTTCAACGTATCAATATGCGAATTTACTATAATTCCCGAAGAGACTTATGCTTATATATATTTACAAATCATAAATTTCAATATATATCTATATATATATACGTATATACATGTAACGTACGCGACGAAACGCGTTCACATTATAATATGCTAAAACTGATGCGTAATATGTATTGTATTGAAAGCACATTACCGTGTCACGAGTATAAAACCGAATAGTCTAACGTATATTTTACAAGAATTGACAAAACCAGTTTCACTCCAATTGTGATTAATGGCGAAGAAAAAATATTGTTTCATCCAAACGCAAAAATAAAATGGTTACATCTTCGATTACAGACAAATAACGGAATAAAAAGTCGTTTTTTTTTAGTGACGGATGCGTGGTTATTCTCTTCGATTCGCTCGTTCGATCATCTTTACAACGTGTCCTCTCGCTTTCGATCATCGTTCTATCACAAAACGCTGGACGTTAAATGAGAAACCGATCCAAGGTTTACCCTACGTTTGTACATTTGCATCGTAAACGTTACCCTTCGTTCTTTTAAGTTCTCAAGTACGCCGTACATTGACTTACATTGGACAAAACGAAGTTCTCTTTGCTAAAATGTTAGCTAGTCATAACGTGGAATAATAATCTGCCTGCAAACAGCAATGTATCTCGTCCTCTGCTCGAGCAGATTTTACATTTTATGGCATATGGTTTCCTAATTACAAACTCAAATGCTACAAAAGCACCAATCATCTCGGAATCCGAGATTAAGTGAACTATGCAGCTTTCTCGAACCAGAAAAGCGTACAGCTCGTATAAACGCCTACAGCCGCAAAATGGCTAAAGAAAATTATAACGCAATTTCCAGTAGTTATTCGCGCGGATATAGAAGACTGCATAATTGTAAAAGCTCGTGCATTATATTAGGTACAATGTAGTAAGCAAAGAAGAGCGTGTGATCAATTCGAAAGAACTACTTACAAAAGAATGATGTATTTGTGACATACTAGAACACTTGAGCGATCTGTATAGATGAAATTTAAAAGCAAATAGGAGAGAAGAATCGTTCGTAATCTATACCTTTAAAAAAGGCGATCGTTAATAAATGATTTAGGCGTAACTTCCAAATATGTTACACGACCGAAATTATAAGCGAGTATTTTGGGTCATTTTGTACAGACAGAATTTTTTTTTCATCGCGATTCTCTACTCAGAATTCTAGAAAAAGATCTCGTTAAGAGACAAAAATTCAAAGATCGATTCTTATCATAATTTAAGTTGAGATAGGACGTAAACGACTTCGCTAGTTTTTCCGATCCATATAGTTAGATGGCAGTTCCATTTCTTAATCGTACAACCTTGGTATAACGATACTATAGCCCGACAATGAATAACAGTACCTGCAATACGCATCGCCTAACAATGGTATCCAATAAAATTTTCATATTCCTAACATTTCGTACATTACCGATATTTACTTCGTTTTATATGCAATAAATGTTCTTCACCAGCGTATAAAATCAGACTTGACATCGTATCGTGCTTCTAGACACGTAATAAATTCTCACAACGTAGACGATACGATTAACATTATTCTTGCTACAATTCACATTATATTTGTGATAAAAGTAAAATTAACATTTGCTTCAATTGTGATTATTCAACGTAACAACACACTCCGTCTGCGCTTCTATTACGATTGGAATTCTGCACTTCGTGTAACCCGATAGAGCAATACCACGACCATTAAACCCATTAAAAAAAACCATAGTAAACATTTAACCCATCCAATAGAAATTTACGTAAGAGTATTACGGACGAATGGGTTAAATTGTAAGAGCTATGTAGCAATGAAAATATCTGCAAATTGCACTATCATTTTTTTTATCAAGCTCGCGAGAAAACATTCCGTGAAAAACTAATTATACAATACCTTGCACGTACGCGAATAACGAAATTCGATCAAGCAAAGTGTAGAGCGCGAACTCTCCAAAGTATAAGACAAAAGATGTAAAGAGTGAATCGTCTTCCTGAAGTGAATAGTACGTTAAAGCACATTTTGTCTTTTACGGATTGTAATATTTATCGGATTCACTGTATTATTTATAAGCAACCGTTAGAATGTAAAATCGGAACTGGAAACTGGACGCTCGATCACGAATCACGTATCTACTACCGTTCACTTACATATTTTGAGGTATGTTTGTCCATGTGTTTTACAAAAAACCTTCGACTCGTGTAAGCAAACTGATTCTGATTAAACAGAAAATCTTCTCCTTCGATCATCGAGTACGTTGTAGACGATTTTTTGAATTTTATCGTGGAGGATACCGGTTCTGTTGCACGTTCTTTGCTGAATGTTCCTTCATGTCATTCGCGTTGTACATCATTGGTCCCTAAAGATCATTGTTTTCATGAAAAACAAATCAATAACAATCACAGATTAAAATTAAGTATAAAAATATCAATAATTCAATAGAACTTATTACACTATTTTTGCACAGTGTTGCCTTAAAGAAAATCAAATTAAGAAATCATTAAAAAAACAATGGAACTTATATTGAAAAAATGAAAGTAACTGATAAAAAATTTTTATTTTTTTTTTTATAATTTATAACATAGATAACGCGACGTGAAGCATAACAAATAATGATTGTAATCGATGCGTGAACATACATTGCGTGACCAAACCCAGAAATATACCCATCACCAAGCTTTCCCATAGTTTTGCCATTTAAATTTCATGAGACGTGCTTGACATGAATTTAAGCTTGATTTAAAGGCAAAGCTATATATGGTCGTGAATTAGGAATAAAATTTTCTTTTAAATCTACCAAAAAATACAGAGTATATTTCAAGTGGCACAGTTTATGTGTATGGAAAAACTTCTGATAAGGGAACATCACGAACAGTCGGATACCGATTTTTATGAAAGTTTGAGCGAATGATCGTGATAAATGGCGCCTATTAAAACATACCCTTGTTCCAAATATGGATCGTAAATTCGTTATGGAATAGAGTAGTATCATAAATAAATTACAACTTCTACCATGTATTGCTGAGTAGAATTAATAAGTGATCACCTCTGGAATGAGTAATGTCTAATGCCACTGGTTACCTTGTTCCGTAGGAGGAGACGCGGATCCCTCATTGTGTAGCTCTGCACCTCTCGCGATAACGAGCTGGTTGAGCTCCATCGAGAGAGCTGTGTGTCATATATAACACAACAATCTTGTCTCACTAACCGATACTCGCTCTATTGCTATGATTATGCATAAAAAATGTGAGCGTACAACACCGGTGTTTTTCAAAGTAAAACATGATAGCTGTTTACATTAGCAAACGTTCACTGTTCAATTTTTATGGAGAAATGAAATCATCGGTGTTGCATATCTCTTGCATCGTCGTATACAAAAATGCAATATCTTTTGTGACAAATACGATATATTAAGACAACTACTCATGCTGAAAAATTATAATGTTAATACCAGTGCGTTATTTTAGTGTCCTGTACCGTATGTTACACTGTGAACCTAAAACAGCCTTGTTTCTATGCTATTGAAAAAAAATGTAAGCTCTAGAACGATATTTAAGAAGAGAAGTAAATACACTCGGCCTATCATCCCTTTCATCTTCATTAACAGTGTCAATATAAACTTTTCAAGTGTCAGTATTATGCAGGGTGTTCGACCACCTGGGAAAAATTTTAATGGGAGATTCTAGAGACCAAAATAAGACGAAAATCAAGAATACTAATTTGTTGATCGAGGCTTCGTTAAAAAGTTACAGAAATATTTTCGGTAAAGAATTTTTTTCTCAAAAGTACGTAGAATTTCGAGGGTATGTCTATTCACCAAAAATGATTGCAATCGACCCCTGCAACTGAAAATAATTTTTTTAGAACGATTTGAACAAATTTTTTTTCCGCCGAAAAATTTAAGTGAAACGTATCGATATATGGTCAGACATTACATTTTAGGAATTTTTTTCTCAAAAATGCGTAGGATTTCGAGGGTATGTCTATCCACCAAAAATGATTGTAAGTGACCCCTGCAACCAAAAGTAATTTTTTTAGAATGATTTGACATTTTTTAATTTCACCAAAAACATCCACCTTCTTGAATTTTTTTTCTCGGAAGTGGATAGGATTTCGGGGTATGTCTATTGACCAAAAATGATAGTAATGGACCCCTGCAACTAACAAGAATTTTTTTAGAACGATCTGAAAGTTTTTTTTTCGCCGAAAAATTTGTCCACCTTTCTGAATTTTTTTCTCGAAAGTGGATAGGATTTCAGGGGTATGTCTATTCACCAAAAATGATAGTAATGGACCCCTGCAACCGAAAATAATTTTTCCAGAATGATTTGAAATTTTTTCTTTTCGCCGAAAAATTTAGGCACCTACCCCCTGTCGATTTTTCTTAAGAATTCGTTTTTCATTTTTAATAAATTTGTTTGACGCCGTACGGAAAAGTTGTGTAACACTTTTTTGTAGGTATATATAAGCTCTACTTCAGAAAAAAGTTTCATTGAAATATATTCACTATTGTGGGAGTTATGACCGTTTGAAAATTGGACCACTTTCATGGGGGTTTTTTCAATTTACGGTGTTAAGGAACAACTTTTCAAATATTTTTGGAATTCCTACATATTCTGCGCTAAAATACGCGTCGTTTGCCGATCGAAACATTAAAATCGTCCAATCCGTTCAAAAGTTATGATGTTTTAAAGATTCGCATGATATTTCCGGGCACCATTTCTGGCGATACATTCATATTATCGATTGGGAATTTTTTTCTCGAAAGCGCGTAGGAATTCGAGGGTATATCTATTCACCAAAAATGATTGTAATCGACCCCCGCAACCGAAAATAATTTTTTTACAATGATTTGAAATTTTTTAATTTTGACGAAAAATTTGTCCACTTACTGAATTTTTTTCTCGAAAGTGGATAGGATTTCGGGGGTATATCTGTTCACCAAAAATGATTGTAATCGACCCCCGCAACCGAAAATAATTTTTCCAGAATGATTTGAAATTTTTTAATTTAATTTTTTAATAACTTTTTAACTTGATTTTCGTCTTATTTTGGCCTCTAGAATCTCCTATTAAAATGTTTCCCAAGGGTGGCCGAACACCCTGTATAGAATTGAGGGAAGTTGCACCAAACGTACATACAATATTTGCACTATCACCCATGCTTCTAGATAAGTGTGACACACCATGCATACATGATAATAAAGAACGATATAAAAAATTAATAAAATAGTCCTTACTATCAGCAACAATTATTATTTGGCTACATCATTCTGCCTCCCCAACTGCTTGCAAAGGAAACATAAAAAGAAAGATAGATTAAACACAGGTTGGCAAGGAAGAGAATGTCTGTAGTGATCTTGAAAAATCTAATTAGTAAAATGAACACTAAAATGGCACAAGAAACGATTGATCTTTAAAGAAACAAATACGAGACCTTTCCGGTAGTCCTTTTTGTTATATAATGTTTCAAATAGACGAAAGAACATAGAAGTTAATTTGAAAAAGATAATTGCAATAACGTTGGATGTGTGGACAATGCACAAAACTAGGGGTAATTTACGGCATGTACAAGTCGACATTACTAGAGTGGTTCTAATGGAAGTTCACGGAAAGATAAACATCTTAACATTACAGTTCCAGAGGCACGTTCAAATATAACTAAGCTGCATACCAGCATACTGCAACCATAACACAAAGATAATAAAAGGGTCGTGTACGATGAGTTTGAAAATGTAGACGCATACGTGAAACTGTATTGTTAATGGTGTACATATGTTTTGTAGTGACAAGACATGAATGAATGTACATAGAAACTTCCAAGTGTTATTCTTTATCTTAAAGAACTTACCCCTTGGGATGTGTTTTCGGAAACGTTCGTAGAAGGTGCGACTGGTGTTGACGTAGGCGTTAGAAAAGCCACGGGGGCATTTGAATCATTGACTAGGAAAATTTAAGAGAAAATTAGTTACATAGAAACCTTGAAGCTTAGCTAGAAATCTTACCTGGTGCAGGAATGAATAACTGAGGCGACGAGGTCGCCATAGGTGCCATTGGGGACGTTATTGGGGTTGCTATACTTGACGGTACTGAGCTATTTTTTGAACCAGTCGGGTTCATTACGTCTATGTAGTTGGCACGCATATTTCTGCCCTTCGGTAATTTGAACTTATTTACTGTCGACTCGTCAGCTTGGGAGGGTGGCTGAGGGGGCGGTTGAGACAATGATTGGGAGGTCTGCTCAGCTATAGGTGCTTTAAATCCCACGTCAGTAGCTTTCGGGGGAGGGGCTAGAGCTGAGAAACTATTGTCACCATCTTCGTCTTTATTCATCCATTTTTTACCAACAGGATCCCAAACAATCTGTTCGGAGAATAAGTCATTGTATAAATATCAATTGTTTTTTACTTGTATAACTGAAACACAAGGTAACACTGCGCGTATCAAATGACTATACTACAGGGCTCAAAATAGTTGCATTGTCCAGACTCAAGTGTTAGAAACGAAACGTGAATTGTTAAGCCAGAATATATCAATAATTCGTTAGCTGTTAATTTATTGTCCGAACATTGAGTTATACTGGCCTTTTCCTCTCCCATCATAAAATCACAGACGTTCAATTACCATAAGTACCCGCGTGAGCCCTTAGCGACATAAAACATAAAACCATCTATCGTGATTCTTGAATGATCTACAGAAAGATTTTAATGTACTGTCAAGGTCTTACCGCTGGATTACTGTCGTCCGGTAAGATCATCTGGTTCCTTGGTTTTGGAGCTAGCTTGCTAAAGAAACCACCGAACCACGAGCCTCCGCTGTTGGATGCTTTTTTCTCAGCCGCTTTCTCTGGAACCTTTTTGGTTGCAGCCGCGGGTTTCGACGATGCTTTTGGTGTCTCGAGCGCGTCCAACTCCTCCAACGGATCGTATTGCTTTCTCGTCGACGGTGTCATGGAAATCGCCGGTTGCGATGGCTGAAATAAAGTATACGATTCATCATCGCAAAGTTGTTCCGGCAAAGTTGATCGCCGTTTACTGCAATAGTACCAGTCCAATGTTACAATCATGGCGTATTCGGTAGATAATTATATTTTCCTCGAACCACGCAGTAAATAGCGAAAAACTTTGCTTGCGTACAAAGACATAATCGTGACTTATGAAAAAAAAAAAAGTAATGAAAAAGAGGCGCAATCTTTAAAAATTCAGAGAATTTCATAATATAGGAAACTTTATTATATATTTAACAATAACAAACTTATATATACATAAATGTTTACCTAAAACAAAGAGCAAGTTCTATAAACCACGCTCTGTATCAAAGATCTGCGGTAAACCCACTCATACTCTCTAGTAACACAAAACATTAATAATAGTGTCTCTTAAGCGGAAGAACTGACTTACGAAAATAACAATTTAATACGTTCTGTAAATACAATTCCGAATGCGCAATAACGTTATAGTCTCGGGAGAAAAAAAAAGAAAAGAACTTGAATGGCGAACAATTGTTATTTTGTACCTACAATCGTACTATCTATTCACAATCTGTGGGAACATCGATATCGTATGTTTTAGGGATGGACTTTTCGATAGGAACGTCGTTACGTTTGGTTAAACTCGGATCTCTTCTAATCGATCTAACTGGTAAATCTATCAAACATGTCCCACCGAAAACGAATGGCTTGTATCGACACAATTCGGAAGTAGTCTGCGAAGAATTCGTGTAAGACCATGCATCTATCGTATCACAAATAACATCTTTCCTTCGAATATGTGGCGCTACTCTCGTAGCCTTTTTCTCTTCAAAGTTACAATATTGTTTCAAAGTCTGACTCTCGTTTTCAGTGACCGCTGACGTTCCGCTCTCTAATCGCGAATCGAACTTGGCAAAAGACTCGAAGTTTACTTCGCTGAATTGAATGTCTAAGTCAGTGGTCGCCGACGAAATCAAATTTCTGCTCTCCGTCTCGTCTAGAACCGTTTCTTTATCATTCTCTGATTTTCTTTTAACTTTACATTTCAAGAACACGGGAGGTTGCGAGGAAGGCGGTTTCGTGTATCTACCGTCTATTTTCTTGACCTTTTTCACATCTTTCGGACAGATCTTATCGTTCGATAGAATTCTCGGATAGTTTGCCGTGATCTTTGGGTACGTTATCACCTTTTGTGGTTTTAGATACTTTTCGTTCAAATCGGTCGACCTATATGGATTAGAAGTCGTCGACGTGCGTGTCAATTGATCGATATTGGACTCGGAATAATGAGAAGCGACGCATGGATCGTTTAATGAATCGGTTACTACTTTGCGTCGGCGTAACGAGCTAACATTGGTGTCATCCAATGGCCACTCAGGCTCGAGATTACTATCCGGAGTAAGTGCGTAATTACTTACTTCAGGGGTAGGTGTTTTTTCTTCCCTTTTCGTCTGTCCATGTGCAAGCATCAAGAAAAAGTTGAAAAATGCGTTATTCTTACATGTATGGAGTGTTCACGATTTGTTACGGGACTTAAATGCACATACTACGCTACCAATGAAACAAAATACAAAATACTTGGAATATTACCGAACATGCACGCAAATGGTAATGACGAATGCTTGATGAACGTATGGGAATGATATAAAAAATATAAATGCAAGATTTAAATTTGTATACTGGTAAGACGCGATTGCATCGATCGATTTACCTCATAGTTCCATTTCTCCTGTTGTTGAGAATTATCGATGTCGCTTTGCTCCGACGGGTACAAAGGATGAGTCGGTTGCTGCTGCCAGTTCGCAGCGGTTGCGTCGTTTCTACCATAATTATTCTGATAATACGAGTCTTGATTCCAGTAATCTTGCTGTTGCGATTGTTGGTACTGAGACTCCTCGTTTCTCGCGTATTGCACGTTTTGATCATACGCGTCCGGTATATTGGATGGCAAAGACAATGGCTGCCATTCCGATTGCACCTCAGTAGCGGCTACTTCCATCATTGACGTTGGACCCTCTCTGTACTCAGATTGAACCGGGTTCCATTGTTGTTGCGATGGTTGTTGCTGCTGCTGTTTAACGTCGTACATCTCTACACTTTGCACATTGTTATGCAATTCCATTTTCATTTGCGCGCCATAGGCGTCATTCTCAACAATTTCCCCCGTCTGCAACAAAGCAATAACTTACTAATAACTCGGAGTAATCAGTGTGTGATGTATCTGTTTAAACTTACATGGCATTTACCAACAATCTCAGCCAGATTATCGAACCAAGTTAAAGTGATAGCTTCGTCGGTCGAGTCTTTGTAGATTGGATCATGGTATTTGATCCTGTCTCCCAAATTATACACAGCGTTGATGAACGACTTCTTGTATTTCGACGGTTCGTTAACGATATTCACCGCGATTTGCTCTATGTACAATAAGGCTTTCTCTATCAATCCATGGTCGATCATTTTCGCTGCCAAATCGAACTTGAATGTCTGAAGGTCCACCAGCGTGAATCCTGGCTCGCTAAGATTTCTAGCAGACTCGTATATTTCCGTGAGCATGACAGCCTCCGTTGTGAGGAACGAACTGTACGGTTTATGGTGATTCGCACCGATCAATACGAGTTTCACGTTGTTCGCTCCGTATGGGCCGAAATCAACTTGCGCGAGTATGTAGCAAAAATGAGCTGCGTGGATGTCTCCTCGGGCGGAGAGCGTGTCCCCGAGAGTCGTGATCGAACGACGATTAATTTCCGGATTGGCCGATGTGTTCGATATGATCATAGCTAAATGGGGTCTCCAATCGTCCCACCGTGGATCCGATATACTAGTAACAACGGCGGGCACACGACCAGAGTGTAGTTGATATAAAGTTTGCAGCGGGTCGTGATAAGGCAAACTATTCGCAAAACGTGTCATCACAGACGCATGAGTACGTTTGTCTAATTTGCTAGCCAAAAAGAGAGCATGACCCCAAAGTCCCTCGTTCATCGCGTATTCTGCGCATAAAAACAACGTTAAGTACTCGAAACACTTTCGTAATTAATCAAATAAATACGTACCTAGCGCTTCTTGAACTAATCCGTAAAGTAGCGTATTTCTAAACTCGTCTGTTATTTGTTCGACACTCTTACGTGGCTTACTTTCGACCTTCTCAGGAACTTCCGTACCATCTTGATTACCCTGAATTCCATCCCCATCTGCAACGCCAGACCTTTGCGACATCACCGATCCCCTCCTTCCTGGATCCTGTGATTTTTGCTTGTTCAAATCGTATGGATATGCATCTTTGTTTCTGAGCAATAGTGCTGCTATATCGACACCGACAACATTCTAAAAAGAAACGTCTAATTAAGTATAAATAACGAGTTATCGTTATGTATACAAAATAAATCTTACCCCGTTCTGTTGGATCAACATAATCATTAATTCGTATAAAAGTATGTACGATGCACGATCAACCATCTCTTCGTTCAGTGCTGCTTTTTTTATTTTATTCTCGCAATATTCAATAATGGTCTTTTTATGTGTAACGCCCCTGTACAAAAAACATAGTGAGCATGAATGTAAAATGTATTGCACTTAGAAGACACTAATTTATAAATATGCATGCTATAAAAATACGCATGCTTAGATCATTAATATATTGATTACACTTGCTTAATCAGAGGTCCAGGATAGGCCCGCAAATCGCGCGCGATGGGATCGTGTTGAAACAGATTGTCCAGTCTAATAATGTCCACTTTGGCTCTTTCGCCATCGGTTGGATAGCTTGGTTGAACGTGTATCATAGATCCAATAGAAAAACATCCTGCATACAAAGCACTATTATAAAATAGAATGCATTGCATGGTACTTGTTAAGTCTTCTAAACAATTTAAGTGTATACCGTATGCATGAGAAATGGAAAATTTCATCGGTGTTAGTCGTGCGGAAGTAGTCGTCGAATCTTCAAGCAAAGACATATCGCAAGTTCGTTTATCGCCAGCCGTTCTGAAAAATATAATTTTCATTTTTGCATGTAAATAAAAACAAAACGTTTAAAAAATGAATAACTACAAAAGCGGTACTAGCGATCACGAGCAAACATTTATTCAAGTATCAAGTAGATTACTCAAACTCTTACTATATTACTTTTTGTTACATCTACTATTTACATGGAAAGAAGACAGATTTTATTTACTAGCAACTACAATTGATATATTTCTAACGAGGAATTTAAATATCTAGCTTAGTTAAAGGTACTCTAAATGCCACAGACATATTCTAACTAAATTACTTTCAGAAAATAGAAGACATTTTGATTATTTGGCACAAGTGTCGAACCGAGAGGATTCTCTCGGTCTCACCTATTTAAATTTTGATAACTCGAGCTCTGTCTTCGCTGTGGACTCCTGGTCCATCCGGGATACCCGAAATACGGAACATATAACGCTTTGTTTGGTGAGTGGAAGCATGCACTTGGATTTATAAAAAATCTAACACATAATCGATATTATAAAAAACGATAGGAGAACAGAATCGATATATTTATATTCGATTGTTTCTTTACTTTCCTCGACGCTCACCTGTCATCGCAGGAACTACGTCCTGAATGAACACTCGCTCTATCCTCCGGGTAACTCGTAACACTTCGTGAAATATGTTGCTGTTGTTGATTAGCATAATATTTGTGATACCATTCTGAATAAGCGGCGGGACTTGTACGTCGCATGTTTTCTATATACGCATAGTAATTATTGGCGTAATGAACACCGTAATCGTACCCAGAATACCCTGCAAATCGAAGTTTTGTTTAAATGTTTTATTCTGCTATAAAAGTTTAATCGAATGCACGAAATAGTACACACCATTGTAACCATAATAGGGATCTCTCGTTCGCATGTAGTATGCACGATCTCTATCGTTGTAAGAAGACCTACTGGACGGTCTCGATCTATAAAGATATAAATATCAACAAGTCTAAAAAATAGTGTGTACTTTGTTAAACGCTTAAAAAATGCATACCCTCTGCTATAAGGATCGTCGTAATATGGATCTCTAATATCGTAATCGTCGTATCGTCTTGGCCTTCTATCGTCCCTTCTTCTATCACGATCAAGATAATCTCGATCTCTAGAATATCGTGGATCGTAGTCCCGAGCTTCTCTATCTCTACGACGCCCATCATCGATCCTATCTCTTCTACGATCCTCTGGTCTCCTTCTGCCATCCCTCTCATCCAGATCGTCTTTACCTCTGCTTCTTCTCTCAAGCTCTTCCCTCGCGTGTCTATCCAGATCATCCCGACTGTGATGCTTGCGATCGTCCTCTCGATAAGGAACTTCCCGTCGATCGAATTCGTCGCGTGCAGTGTACGATCGATCACTTTCTCCTACGCGACGTCGATCGTAATAGTAATCATCGTCGTATTCACGGTCGCGGTCATAACTGTAAAAAACATCGAGAATAATTATTTCTAGTCCCATGTTTTATTAGAATTCAATTTATCACGAGTTTACTGACTATGCGTTCTTCCGTTCGTATTCGTATCGTCGCCGTTCCGAACTACTATCGCGTCGTCTCTCTCTACTATCGTCTCTGCTATTCCCAGAACCTTCATCATCCTCATCCTCGTACGAATCTCTACGATTCGACAAATTGGAAACTCCCTGACTTTCGCGTACAGATGCGCCAACAGCTTCCTCGCGTTTGTTCCTCGAATCGCTGGTTTGGTCTTGTATCGTGGCTGAAACGAAGACAAGAAACAATTAGAAATTAGATTTAGAGATATATAATTCAAATACGTATGAAGCTCTATCTCACAGCCTGTAAGGGGAACCTCTTGAGAGCCTGTAACTACTCGTCCATTAGGTCTGTCGTCTAAAGACTGAGCAACGTCGTTTGGAGACGCGCCTCCTGGTATTTGCCTAAGGTCCTCGTCCGTCTGTTGATTAGGGTCTTCGGTGTCATTGCCTCTGCCAGGTACTTCCCGCGTTTCGCTAGATTCCAGCATAATTTGAGATTGAGGTTGGTGTCTTTCTTCTCCGGAGGGATCATTGCGTGACTGTTGCGGAGGTAGGGATCGTTCTCTGCCAGATGGATCGTTTCGACGTTCCAACGGGTCAGAGTCCGTTCGTGATAGTATAGGGACGCTTCTCTCTTGGCCAGGAGGAACATCACGACGTTCTGATCTATCAGACATATTCCTTAGCTGAAGACCTTGTTCCTGGCCGGAAGGATCGTTCCTTCTTGGGTCTGGTAGTCTCTGAACAGATTGAACATATTGTTCTTGACCCGTTGGATCATTTCTACGCGGATCTATGGAACTCGACTGTCCTGGTACTTCGCGTAAAAAGGGAATATCATTAGGCACTTCGTCGTTTTCATCGTCCTGGCTCGGTGGAGTCGGTTCGTGCTCTTGATGGGAATCTGTCAGTTCTCCGGTTTCCAAAAACGTGTTCCTATCGTTCGACGCGAATTCATAATTATCCGGCACCTGCAAAACAATGTTTATTTATTGTCAGTATAGACAGAAGATGTTAATTTATTTTTCTTTTGTTTCAGGTATACCTGTTCCGGCTGAAGAGGCGGATGAGATCGTGCAGAAGGTACTTCGATGTTGTTTACTTCTTGTCTGAAATCGCGTACACTAGCCGATTCTTTAACAGGATTCATAACCGGTTTTGGGTCGTTATCTAAAGTTTCCTTATTTATGGAATCTCTCGAGCCGTAAATATCGCGTTCCTGTAAAGACGGCGTGACTACCTCTAAGTTTACGAATTCCGAAGGCTGCTGAATAATTTCATAGTTTTCTACAGTTTGTTCGGTACTCCATTCTTTAACCAGCCGAGCATGATCCTTTGGATACCATGTATTGTCTATGGAGCGCGGTAGTGTATTCTGATTGTACCATTGATCGTATCCACTTTGCGTCATGTTATCTGTTGGCTTGATGTTCGTCGGCGGATATGTACTGTGTGTTGAATTTTCTTTGCTAATGGCACCTTGGGAGTCAATGGAATGAGAATTTTCTGCACCAGGTGGAGCATAATCTGAAGGTAACCCAGGTATATTATCGGGAGTAGAACTACTTTGCGAAGCTGTATTTTGATTCCATCCATCCTCAGGTATAACAGGATGCACTTCCGACGGTTCATTTTGATTTTCTAAATGTTTGTTTATCATAGTACCAAGACTCAACTGTTCTAATTTTGCCGGCAACTCCTCCGATGAAATATTTCTTCCCCATTCTAGTGGATCACTTGTTAAATTAAAGTCATTGTTCTCCTGAACGGAAACGTTCTCGGAGCTTGCGATAGTCGACATAGTTTCAGGAGAGGCGGACACGTTAAGACGGGAGTCAGGTAATTGCGATTTAGCTATAGTCGTTTTTGCGTGTATACTGGAATCTTTTGAAATCATGGAGTTTGTAGTTAACGAAGGTATAGATGCTTTTCTATCTTCTTGCTCTATGCTAGGTTCTGGTAGTTGAGGTATATTGGGTAAAGAATGATGAGTGGATATCGTAGGGGTTTGTTGCCAGTCGTTTACAGCAACAGCGCCAGCGTTATCCTGTTTAATATCTTCTTCCAATATGTTATTATTCTTTTGCTGCTCTTGTAACCACTGGGCTGTATGAGTCTCGTCCGAATGCTTCCATTGTTGCGGAACATCTGCATTTGCCGTTTGAGACCAAGAATTGAATTCGCTATTAACATTGAAAGTTGGTGGTAATTGTTGACCTTGGTTGGGCAGCATGGATTGACGACTTTGATTGTTCCATTGAGAAGCGGGCATATTCATTTGATTAGACCAATTGCTTGGATCATTGATGGAATGTTCTTTGTTAGTATTATCAGCGGAAGGTGGAAGAAGTTGACTCAAACTAGTTTGTTGTAACTGTGGCACGGACTGATTGCTTGTATCATCGAACTTTTGCATCTCCTTGTCCGACATATTATGGGGTGGCATTAAATTTGCTTGATCCGGCTTGTGCCAAGTATAATTGCTACTAGCTAACGGAGGTTGCATCAATGATTCATTTTGGTTCTGTATAATAGGTCTTTGCTGCGTGTATGGAATTTTTTGAGGCTGTTGCTCGCTCGTCCATTGAGAAGCGTTAAAATTTACAGGTCCGGATTTAACAGAATTAGATCTAGGCGACGGCGGATACTGATACTGAGTATAATTCGAATATGGTGGAAATGAGTCAGAATGGTTTGGAATCGGTTGCCTATTGCCAACTGTGTTTGGTGCATTATCATCAGGCACAGAGTTTTGATTAAGCAGATCGGACTTGTTGCCATTAACATTCTGATAATAATGATCTTGAATAGAGTTTGGTCTTGGATGACCTTGATTCGTATATGGAGGTATGTAATGCTGTTGCTGTTGTTCTGGTTGAAGTGGCTGTTGCTGTTGCTGATTATCCGTTTGTTTATCAAAATCCCAATTCCATGAGTTATTCCAAGGATCACTTGTTTGCTTTGACTGATTTACGATAGGTGGTTGGTGCTGAATGGTATCATTGGATGAGACTTCTGGTTGCACCCTTGACATTGGATTCCATGCATTTTGATTATGAGCTCCATATCCTAAGGTATGATCTACTCTGGACCTGGCTGGTCGGGCTCTATAGGGATTCTAAAACCATATTTCAAACATTACACCATGAAATTCAAAATATATATTTACAGAATATATTATAATCTTGTATACTACTTACACTCATACTTCCTCGAGGACAGTACCGATTGCTTCTTAGTTATATGAAACCTGTAAAACAAAAATTGATATATTAACATATGTAATAAATTACAGATGATAATTTTTATCAATGCAATACATGTCTCATCAACATTCCAATAAAGGTTAGTCTATATGAAAAACATCCAAAGACAAATTATTCGAGCAAAGTGAAAACTACTTTCACATACTATAGAAAACATATACATATATACGTGCGTGTGTTGGTGTATATATGCATGTACATATATATAGGTCATTGGTCAGCTATTCTTCATTATTTTAATAACATTTCCCGCGAGTAAAAATGACGAACAAGGGCGTAGGAAAGTAATATTTCACATATTTACAAATCGATGTATGAAATCCGTTCATGCTCGCGACAAGTACGTTCAGGAAACGCAAGATTCCTCCGACTTCCGCGCGACAGAACTCAAAATTGGTATAATTATGTAACAAAAATCATGAGAAAGCAGTTTTTGCGCGTAAATAACGAATCAGCCGGATAAGGGGATGCCAGGGGACGAGAAATTAAGATGTTCGTGTCGAAAGTTAGGATACCAGCTGGGATAGCCAAGTTAGCGTTCAGGGACCCCTCATACGTTCACTCACCTAGCTATCGTATCTTGCACTGGTGTCCATACGCAAGCACAAGCATTATTTTCTTCCACAGAACATACGAATCGTTGCCGTTGGGAATTCGATGTTTGTAGTCGCGGAACGAATCGTTCGCAGGATCGGAACGGAGAAATCAGAAAAACGCGGACATTTTACAGAGATACTGTGAAAGGAAGGTGTGGGTTAAGCACGTCACGAAATTTTTCTCGTTCACTTTCCACGCGAGCAGAACCATAGACGCGCACAGCGCGGACGCGTTGATCTCAAACGTCAAAGGACCTCCGACGAAACGTCGTCAGATGGCGTCGAGGGGTGGTTCAAAATTTTTTAAATTTCTAAAAATAAAAAAGGAAAACAACGGATAGAAAAAATACCAAAATTATATGAACGTTCGCATAATGACGCGTTAATGTAATATCGAAATAATAATTTCCCAACGATTCTCGCTGTTCAGCGACGTTCGAGGCGCGGCAAAAATTTCTAACCGCGACGGGGTAGGGGAAACGATATCCGAATCATATTTATTTTCGTTTATCCAGCCGCAACGTTTTATTTAGCAAGCGCAGAACGTTTATAAGCGATATCGCGATAACGTGCGTTTATTAATATGCGTAAATTAGGTGATGGAAACGAAGACGCATTAACAACAATGAGGAAAGAACGTGAACGTGTTCGATAGGAACTTTGACACAGAAGAATACTTCACACCGACTGACGTGGTATGCTGAGAGTGGACGATTGACGAATCGGCCACACCGTGGCCAGTTCCGCGTAAATGGATTTCGGTTGGTGAAGTTTCGACCGTCTCTCAAACTTTTATAACGAGTTTCTCGCTATTCCCGACGGCAAGTTCGCTTGATTTTTGGAAAAATGGTATTGTTAATGATGATCGCGAGGATACAAGATGGTTTGCCATTAGCGGCAACCGTGCAAGAAGACGAACAGGTTAGAAATCTGTTATGATGAAACGTCAATTTTTTTTACCGTGTTTGACAATTTTTTTGAACACGATTCTACTAATTTATTTACAACCGACCGTGTCTAACGATATTTCAGGTGTTGCGAAAATATATTACCATTTTTGTCTCCCACTGTGCGACCAGCAAGCTCGTTTAATTAACAATGACAATTAATTTATGCCCGATGTCTGTGTTTATCTCCCATTTATTTCGATACAAATTCAAATAAATCTATGATAACTGTTTCCCGTGTGTATTACGCAACATTACAGAGCCGTTACAAATATTTTAACAATTTCCAGAGTGGAAGAAGCATCTTAGAGTATCAGAATCAAGCAAAGATGTTATTTAGAAAGTTAGGTCCTCAATCTCCAGATAGATGTACTATAGAAACAGGTCCATATTTATTCCAGTAAGTTTCTTCTTGTAGCTGCAGCGCTATTACATTGTATCATTTAACAGTGTACTATTAACAGCATAAATTTTCAGTTACCTAATTGAAAATGATGTATGTTACTTGGTACTATGTGAAAAAAATTATAGTAAACGTGTGGCTTATAGTTATCTTGAAGACATTGCACAAGAATTTCATTCTGTATATGGTAAACGCGTCAATTCAGTTACCAGGCCTTATAGTTTTATCGAATTCAGTATGTATAGCAAAATTATTTTGAATGAAAATTCTGTTTGCACGATCTATCAAGTGATTTGTATTTTTCTAGATACGTATATTCAAAAGGCAAACAAAATTTTCTTAGATGGTAGGTCAAGAAGAAACATGAATGCACTTAATAGTCAATTACAGGATGTGCAAAGAATTATGGTTCAAAATATTAATGATGTCTTGGAAAGGGGAACGGTTCTTTCAGGTAATATTTATACATAAATGAAACCGTGTTCTTTATACAGAGTCTCTGTATTGAAATGTAATTGCTTTTTCTAGAATTGGATTCAAAAACACAGAATCTGTCCATGTTGTCGCAGAAATATAAGAAAAATGCAGCACACTTAAACAGTAAATCGATGTATGTAAAAGCAGTGGCTGGACTGGTCGCATTTTTGGTCTTCCTACTGTATTTCTTCATTCTTTAGTTATTCGATCTATTTGACAAATTTGTTATCACTGTATAAAAACCACCGATGTTTTTAATCATTTTATTTTTTCGAAAATTAGTAACTATATTATCTTTTACGACGGGTACACGATGCGTTTAAATTTTGAATCTAATTAAGATTTAAAACGATGTACATAAGTTGCATTCAGAGAAAAACTAGTCGCAACGAATATAATAATATATTGATACCAGTTTCAGGACACTCTGTCGCAAATATATTGCCATGCAATAAATACAAAATATAATTGTTTACATGATTAATGTAATGTACAACCATCTGTTTCAGTTTAATGAAAAACAATGCTAACGATTTTATAAAAATAAAAGACAATATGTACAGCCACATTTATATCGAACCACCTCTATTATTTTATTTTTAAACAGTGAAAAATCAGTATCACTATCTCATTCCTACTTTAGGCTGTATTAGGTTTATTATATATACATATATATATATATATATTTTTTTGTATGGGGTCGCGAATTTATGAAATTCTACACGACCTATGATTAAAATAAATTATTAAATTATATTTATTCTTGTGAGCTTAGGATTCTCTGAAATATAAACGACTATATATTTAATCTTTTGGGAAGGGGAATCAATAAAAATGTGTTATAGTTGATTTTGTGATATTATTATATTTGTATGTAATTCAATTGTATCAGCCTATCGAGGTATTATATTTACAATAAAAAATTGAATTTATACAAATATTTATTAGTTTAGATCGATAAAAATTACTCATTAATTTTTCTGCATATATCCTTACTGTTCCATTTTAACTAATTCATTGTAGTTTGGGATGTTAAAATTAGATGACTGTTTAGCTTTTCGATCGTCGTTCATTTTCTCTTCGTCAGATTCCGAAAATTCGGAGTTAAAAAAGTAATTTACAGTTGAGCTTTTCTCCTCTCTTCTATTAATTTGATTATATTTTCGTCTTCTCTTATTTAATACATTTCCGTTATTAAATTTACTTTCTGACTCTTCCATATCTTCATTGTCTAAAATATTGTTTAATTTATTGTCTAACATAATATTCATAATAGTAATAAAAATAAGTAACATACCAGTATCTACAACTTCATACATATCCAAATGGTCTTTCAAGACAATGTATATTGTTGGAAATTCTATGATAGTTTTATTTTCTAGATTTTCTTTCAAGGTAAGTGTAATGTCTAACTCATAAAACCTAATAAATATTTATGTGTTATTTAACATCATGTATCTAATATTTGATGAAATTATGTAACATTAAATGATCTTACTTTGATTCTGACTTTTTAATCTTTTCAGCCTTTAAAAGAACTTTTATTCCAGATAAGCTAGCTGCTTGATAGAACTGTAATCTATCATTTAAATGCATTCTTAAATTTAACTCTTCTATGCCATGTTTATTTTCTAATGACTTAACGGGATCCAGAATTTCTTCTATAAGAGCTGATAATCTTGTAGTGTCCAGAGCCCTGTAATTATTCCAATGTAACATGAATCAAATTTCTTATTAATTATACATGTATCATATAAATGTAAATATGCTCTACCTTTCTGTAGTCCATTTTATCTGTTCTGCTTGTGGAAAAATCCATTCTACTCTCCAATACAGCTCATTAGTTTTCCAATTTAAAAATGTTGTATTATTTTTGTGTCTACTAAAATTTTGTGGCATGAATTCCAAATTAATTCCCTTTTTGAATGCAGCTGATTTGAGCTTGGATAAATGCTATGAACATAAAGTTTATTATATTATAATAATACATTTAAAAATTAACACAAAAATTACAACAAACCATTGGTAAAATATTTTGACGCGTGCATCTTTTTAATGGATCTCTTTTTAATTGATCAACCGATCTGCCGACTTCTTCGAGTAATCGATAATCTATAAAATCGTAATCATACTTTTAAAAACCTTAACAGCATTCATATATATATATATATATATATTAAAGTTAATTGGAGTTTGTACCGCTTAAGACATCTAAGTCCGTGAATGATTTTAGTGGTACGAATTTTGTTTTATCTCGAATGCCATCACACGTTAATTCTTTTTTGTGAATGTTTACACATTGAAGACAGCAAGTCCTAACCTCGCATTTTGGACACGTGTATTTCGCTTTACCCGCACCGCATACTTCACAATTTTCGATTCTGCAAACAATGTTAGTTTATGTTTGTGTACCCACAATGAAAAAGTTAAATAAAAGTGACTCTTATATTGTTATAACAAAATCAATCAAACAATTGCTATTATGATCATACTTTTCATTGGACATCGCCATCTTTTCCATTCATTAAAGTGATGTCCATGGGTGTGCAGACACGAAGCGCAGGTTAAATTTGCTTTACAGAAACTTAGAAATAAAAGGTAATAATAAATATGAGAAATTAAACATATTCAAATTTTAAGGTTTCTTTATTTATATCGTTTTATATACATAGGTACATTTTGTGTACTGTATAAAAGTGAATTGATCATCAAAATATAGACAATTTTGCTCTGTTCTTTCGTTGATTTTGTTCGGCGGCTATATTCTTTTCCGATGCTTTCAAATCAACAAGCTCTTTCTGTTTCTCGTTATACTTCATGACAATGTTATTATAGAGAACACTGCCCTTTGTATGCCTTGTCAGTGATTCTTTTAACTTGGACGATTCTCTCTCTAACCTCAAAATATTTTCCCCAATTTTAAAGCTTGCTACATTCAACTGTCGATTCGATTCTGTTTTGAGATCGTTCTTGTTTTTTGAGGTACTCGTTTGCGTTTCATTTTCAGCTATAAACAATTATTTAAACATTTAATAAAACACCTTAAAGTATATACTGTAGGATGCGCGCAATTTTTAGACGTACATTTATTACCCAAGGTTGTATTTAAGAAATTAAATATATTTTTTTTTTCTTGTTGTTTTGCCCTTTGGTATTGTCTCTCCCTTTGTTGTTCTAGTTTTTGTTGTTGTTTCCGCATTCTACGTTCTACGGTAAATAGATTTTTATCCCCACCCGCGTTTTCTCGCAATTCCATACAGTGATCTAAAAACAAATACTTTCATTCTGCATATATTTTTATCTATTACAAATAATAGTACGTATAATAGGAAGTCATACCTAAAGATTTACCAGCAGGCAATACAGTTGCTTCGACCGGTTCTATTCTACCGTCAGAATGCTTTCCCAGACCAGTACCTACTATGTATCCCATTTGAGCCATTAGTTTACTACCTATACCACGCGTATGTCTCTCCCAATTTCCCAACGATGCATTATTCTCCAAAGTAAGGAGAGACTTGTGAATTACTTCCTCTTTAGAATATTCCAGTGAATCTGTTTCATTATCCGTATCATCGGATGTATCTGACATTTCTAAGTCTGCATCATCTACAATAATGGCCCCCATGATGTAAATATAAAGCATTGACTTCAAATATATGATTATTTAAGAGAATACTGACCGAGTGGCAAAATATCTTGCAAACACGTTTCAGTAATGTTACCACTTGCTTCAAATTTAACACGAACAACATCTCCATCTTTTTCTGGCAATTTTAGAATAATGCATCTATGCCACAATTCATTTTTTTGTTTTGTTAGTACCCTGCTACCCATTTTTATACTTTGAAAGTCAGGTTCCCTACAAATAAGGGCTTTATATATATATTTCTTGATTATATGTCTTAGACAGTCAATTTCAATAGATTTATTTACCTATATTCTTGTATACTAGATAATGGTACTAGTTCACCATGCGAAAATCTGCAATCCTGATCAGAGAATTTACATTTTCCATTCAAATAATAGGGGCATGGAAGCATTTCTTTGTGTGTTGGATTTAAGAAAAGTACTCTGACCTAAACAATAGTTACATCATATTTAAATGTGCGGATTCGTAGGAAGTAAACAAAGGCAAATAAAATTATTGTATTGATATATGATACATTTAAATTAACTTTCTCTTACCTTTATATCTTGCATGTTCTTTATTTCTGTAACATCAGTCTGATAAACTGAGCATATCATAGCATTATGGTAACCAATACCTCCCCAACTGCTACCATGTGGGGCTCTACATTTCATGCCCTCGAGCTGCTTCAATTCTTCCTATAAGATGAACTTGCACCGTATAATTGTGTCATTGCTATGCCGTACAGAATACTTGCGTACTGACTTCTATATTGTTTGAAGCTCCCTTGGCTTGTTCATTCTGCTTACTATTCTCAGAATCATTTGAGACTTCCTCCAATTCCGCCTAAATAATTATACAACAAAAACGATATAAGGAATCATCTTTTCAAATTCTTTGCAGTCATTTGCACGGTCCAAATTAAAAGAATCACCTTAAACAAGGTATACTCCTTTGCTAGTGGATCTTCGTCCTCGTCGTTTAAACTTTCCGTCTTCGATTCGTTCCCTGTATCACCCGTTTCGACGCTATGCAAGCTCTCTTTCGTTAAATTAATTAGTTCTTGTATATCGGATTCCAAGCTTAATAAATTGTCTCTGTCGGCCCCCGATACCTTCGTGGATAGGGTTGCCTGAACTTGTGTCAACTAACGTTGCGAATAAGCGTTGTAAAGTATATAAATTAAGCAGAAACGTAATAATCGTTCTTAAGGTTATATTGTTTTCTCGTAAAAACGATCGCCCTACCTGCTGTTCGTATTGTGCGATTGCTTCCCTTAAACTTTCCGCGTCTGTCATGTTGATCTGTTTGCGGTAAAAAGAACCGACTAGCAAACCCTTAAGAAATGGCAATTTGCACGGCAAGCTATTATGACAGTTTACATTTAGAAAACTCCGCCGTTTTGTGCAGCTTAACGATCGCAGCAGCGGTACCAGATTGCAGACCGGTGCCCCAAGAAAACTGCCCCTCCACCTACGCATACTAACGCACAGCCACATGTGAATACAATTCACAGTACCAACACTAAAGGGGTGAAGTCCGGTACGTGGCGACATCTTTAACAGAATTTTAGATATTATATTTGAACTGTTTAATTATATTTTTTATACATTGAATGTTAACGATTGCAATGTGGTGTTTATAATAATATTTTATTTATCATAGGTTTATTGTTAACGAAAGGTTTCTCTTCAATTTGGAAGAAAATGACGGATATCAATGCCTCGGTAGCGCAGTAGGCAGCGCGTAAGTCTCATAATCTTAAGGTCGTGAGTTCGATCCTCACCCGGGGCAAATGTTTTTTTTATTAACTATAAAATTGTGTAATAACGATGATGATCTATTTTATGTTTCTATAAACAAATGGCTTCTATGAAATGCACGAATTTTATTCATATTAATTTCCTTCGTTGTTCTAATCAGAGTATTTATTTTTTTAGATCCATAAACTACGAAGGATTCAGAATAATCGCGAAGAAATCGAACAAACCGTAGGAGAGGAAGAGATGCACGGATTTCACGAACGAGAAAGAGAGCAAGAGACAATTATGTAAATGTAACGCTCGCCGGAGGGACTTGAAGCTTCTTGGAATTGAAATGTGGAAGTTAAAACGAGTTGTGAATTGTTTGTTGCCCTTTAGCGATACCGCAATTTGCAAGCAAACAGCCCATTAAACTGAAGCTGCCATAGCTACCACCTTTCCGCGATAGATAGGTGTTGCGACCCTCGCGCTGAAATAAATTTACGGAAAACGACGCGTGCTTCCAAGATATTTTAAACATTTTATTCTCGACCAGCGAAAAGAACGTAACGCGCAGTTCTTTTTACTGATACCTGGCCATTAAGCATTCACGCGAAGTAAAGTTTAACTAATTTATATTATTTAATCTTGCAGGAACGGAAGAGGAACAATCCACTCGTGTTATAGTGATCTTTGGAACAATCGAAGAAATGTAAACAGAGCATGCATTCGCAGAGAGGCCATTCGAGTTTAGAAACAGTTGTTCGCGTGCTCCTAATGAGGCCACTTAAACGCAAACGGTGGCAACTTGCGTGTAGCTATCGACGGATAACAAGTATTATTCTGTTTGAGAACTGCGTTTTAATTGTACAATATTTATCGCGATTTCAAAGCATGATGAAACCGGGTACTGTTAGTTTTAGTTATCAGAAATTCAGCGTGGTGACTTGTCTCTGTTAGGTTCGTTCGACGTCTGGAGGCGCAGGCGGTAGCGACACTTCCGTCAGAAGTATTCAACGCCGAAAGGATTAAAGCAGAAGCCTCCGAGGGCGGAAAGAATGAGTTTCACGGGAATAAATAATATCCGTGCGATGAATGACAGAGTCGCGCGCGCGGATAGGATCGTCGGGGCGGGCAGGCCGCGATGTAAGCGAACCTCTTGGCGAATCTCCGGGTCTGCTCGCACTTATCGTATTTTCAGGGTGATTATACGTCCGTGGATGTCGGCGAGCCGTGGCAGAAAATGAGAGAAAAGGGAGAGGAGAAGGTTGCGCGGCGATGGGAGTGGAGGGGGAGGGGCCACGTTTTTCGCGGGTTATTTTATGCGCCCGCTATGCATCCGTTACGTATAAATGCAGAGACGCGGCCCGGTTTGCAGGTGCACAGCAGGCTCGTTGCAAGCGCGGTTGATTCCGCGTTGATTCAGGCTGTATTCAGTGCATCGAGTCCCGCGATGAAAAGGCGTTCCGCTTTCTGAATATATTCCAATTAAAAAGTCGGAGCTTCGTTACACTCGGCCCTGCCCTCGTGCACCCCTGCACCTTGCACCCTCCACTCTCGCCACTCTCTCCGTTCCTCTTTCGAACGCTCCGACTCTCGCTCACGCCCTTCCTTCTCGCGATCCCATCTTTTCCCTCCGCGGCCCACACCCCCGCCTCCTCCTTTTACCTCTGCTTTTTGCCTTCCACCAACGGAGCCGCGATCTCTTCTCGCTACCATCGCGCAGTCAGCCATCGCTCGCTACCTCTCTCCTCTCTTACAGTTTCTCCAGCAATTACTCCGCCGCTTTTTTTTTTTTTTTTTAACATCTGAAGAATTAGAAACATGTACGGAGTCTTTCTTCGCCCCCCCCCCGAGTTTCCCTTTAACGGGGTTGGTCGGTCTCTCTTCGATAGAAATGGTTTCTTCCAAAAATCTAGAAAGTCAAACGCCTCCCGAGGCTCGGATAGAATGCCTGAATTCGTCCATTGTTGTAGGTCTCAATGGGTTACCGATCTCGAAGGTTCAGCGGGCAACGTATGCGCCCAAGCACCCCGTGAAGTATTTAACGACGACGCTCTCCGCGGGATAAGGGGGTGGAGACGCGCATCGCGGACCGAAGAGGGATAAGAAGCGCGTGTCCAAGTGCCAACACGACTTACGCACGTATGCACGCGCGTACACGGTTGTTCGCTCGACGACAATACGCACGTGGCCGAGTACACGCGACGCCACTTCTCCTCCCAGGATATCTCGCTCGAGTCCCTGGGCTCTTTCGCCTGGGATCCACCGGGGGATCATCGATCGCCGCCGTTTCCACGGAGAATGGCTGCTGATTGGGATAGAGCGAGTCATTGACGAGTAAAATGCGGACGTTTACACGATCAAAAGCGCGCTCGAGTGCACGGGATACGCGATCGCGTTCCATCGACACGCAACTGCTTATTCCGTTCGCTGGCTTTCCTGCATCAAACTTTACCAACTGTATGTTCCTTTTGTCAAGACAATCGCAGCTGCGTTGTAGAAACTGTTAATTTCGTGGGAAACATGGATAGTAAAAATCATGATTGAAATTCGCGGGGTTAAGAACGCGTTAAAAGGCGGAATTTGAAGCGAGTAAGGAGGCGAGGTACGGACCACGGGGACAATGCTCGAGTGACGGGAGATTATCACGAATAATATGCGATTCATTATGGCGGAGTAATTACGCGCGAGGGATCGCTCGTTTCCTCCGCGGTCGCGGCGTGCTCGAGCGGAGATACAGAAAAGGAACTAAAGAAGGAACGAGGGGTCGCAAGAACTTTTCCTTCGCTCGCGTGATTTCACGCTCGGCAACACGTATCTGGTCTTTTTTGTTGTTCGAGGACCAGACGCGCGGGGACCGTCTGAAAGGAATCTCGCCTCTCCTTCTTGCATCCCCGCGCCTTTTTTCCTCGAGGAACGTGTATCGAACGAAACTAGTCTCCATTAAACACCAGCGTAAACGTTTCTGTTAGCGAGAATTGACTATCGTTTTAGGTCGCCTAAATATTGGCGAGACACTCGTATGTACGATCGATCGAATTCTTTTGGAGAAATTCAATCGTACGAGTTTCTGGAGTTTTCTACTCCTCGCGTCGTCGGAGGACGGACGCAAAGGAAAGCGATTAACGACATCGTTATCAGGGATCGTTCGGTGTCTCGCGTAATGTCGTCTAATCATCCGTGTAAAGAGATCGTACACTTCTCGTCCTCTTCTCCGCTCATCTCCCTCCTCCTCCAATTAACGCGAGTAGTTCGCCGGCAGCCGCGAGAAATCATCGCGACAATCGCTGCCGTTTCTCTTGCAATCTGTTTCTCTCTGTTTCTCTTTCCCGTTCGATTCCGTTCAATTAAATCCGCCAGCCAATTCCAGCCACGAGTAGCACCGGCACTCGACTTGTATCGGTTTCAGCCAATTACTTTCCGCTCGGGGCTCGCGGATCGGCTGTTCCTGGCCACGTGCCCATTGTCGCCCGCGGATTAGTGTTGCTGTTCCCGATACGGGTCTCGTTATGCGGTTACTGTTCAGCGAAACAAAAAAACGACCGTTTTTTGGATCGATATCGATACGCAACGAAGCTCGAAACGAAAATGGAGGATGTTTCTGTAAGGTCTAGTTCAATAATTACAAGACTGCATGTTCTGTTCGATAATAATTTATTTATCTACAAGAACTCTTCGGTTGACGATAGATCGTCGACTAGTTTGGCGAAGGTGATCGATTATCAGCGGTGAGGAACTAAATCTCTAAACGAAAATCGACCGTGAAGGGTGGCTGGTGGTCGAGGCGTTGCACAAATCTTAATAAACGTTTACTCCTTGTTCCAATTACGACTGCCTAAGATTCTATAACACAGCTACGAAAACTCGTCTCGCTATCGACTCGACTAAGACTTTCTCGCTCCTCTGGCGGGGGCTTTCGTGCGAAGAAAAAGAAAAAAACCGGCAGTAAAGGCCTCGATCGTCGCGATACTTGGTTCCCGTGTTTCCCTTTACGCGTCGGAGGCGATAACAAACCGGCTACGACTACCGACCAACTTCGTAATTACATATGTACACTGTCTCGCCAGCGGGGACGAGCATGGGAATACAATTCCAAGATGGAGTCCGGGGTTTCGAGGGCCCGAGGGTCCCCCGCGATACGGAAATCCGCGCACTTCACCGCACAATGGCGGCCCCTGACCCCTTGCACCAGGACATCCTGCACAGCGCGGCGACGAGACGGCCGACGGACGATCTGGTGCAATGGTTCAGAAATCGCTGTGAACAGTAGCGACTCACGATCTCGAGGATCCGTGGCCGCGGTGATCCGGGAAGAGCCATCGTCGAGGACTCGACGCCGGCGGCCGGGAAGCAGACACGATCCTGGAACCGCGGCGATCGGCCGGGTTAGAGCGGACATCCATGGACGTAGGTCACGTTCCGGAACAGGGCGGCCGCGGTGGAGAGGAACGCGGCCGTCGAGGCGGAGGGCGGCGCCGGAGGCGGCGGCGGCGGTGGCTGATGGCTCTGGGTCTGGGTCTGAGCGTTGTAAGGTGGACAGTAGGCATCTATGCTACCGTGATGAAGACCCACGCCTCGGACCAGCAGCTCCTTCTCCACCGTCGCCTGGTGCCGGAGCTGCTCCAGTCTCAGCTGGTTCTGTCGTTTCCACTTGGTTCTGGAATCAAGCGTTTCCGCCATTCTAAACATGTCCCTCTCAAAAGCGTCGCGTTACTTTAACGTTCTCAACAAGATTTTGTTATTAATCGCAAGGTTCGATTACTAGAATTGTCTAAATTAATAGATTTTTAACCCGTTCCATTGATCCTCCATTAGTTCATTGCTTTTTTAAAAGTTGATTTCCATTTACAAATAACCCTTTGCACTCCTACGCCGAGCGTGACACGACATCAGTTTTAGACTGGGATATCATACACTCGAAAATGACAAAATACAATAGCGTAAATAAATCAAATAAATCAAATAATTGAATTTGTTTGAATTCCCCTATTTTTTAATTAACGTAAATTTACAAGCGCTGGGAGCTGCTGGTAACAAAATTGAGATGCAAAGGGTAAAGGATTAATGAAGAAACTGGAGGAACAGAGGGGTACGATCGTTAAGGACGAGAAGAAATAATGACCTTCTGTTTTGGTACCAAGTCTTGACCTGGGTTTCCGAGAGCGAGAGCGCGTCGGCGACGTCGCTGCGGTCCGCGACGCTCAGATACTTCTGACAGCGAAATTTCCGTTCCAGGTAGGCGAGCTGGGCGTGAGTGAAGGCCGTTCGTCTTCTCCTGGGCTTCCTGCCGCTGGGAGGACCGCTGGTCGTGTTGCAGGACTTGCCGGAAGTCGCTGCCACAGGCGACGGCGACAAGGCTGGCGGAGGACTCTCTAGCCGCGTGCACGGGCTGCTTCCGGGGTCGATCGTGTCCTCGGAGTCCGAATGAACGGCGGAATCGTCCTCAGAGTCTTCTGAAACAAGCAGTCGGTTAGTATGGAGGTCACGAAATTGAGATTTTCTTTTAGGATAAGAAGAGAACGTTGCTACTGCGAGGGAGAGCGTTGCTTGGAGGATCCAAGCTTATCTGTTCCACGAATTCTATGTACAAACTTAGGTATCTTCGCCCTAACAAGATCCAGTTAACTCAACAATCGTAGGGTGCAATTAAAATAACGACTATGCAGGAGGGATCGAGAGTTCAACGTCAGTTGGTAGCTAAAGAGAGCTCGGGGATAAGTCCAATCCAATTTCTCACCGTCCGACCGATTGCTCGGTCAAAGTCGATTATCCGAACAATGCAAACGCGTCCCCGATCGATTCCGATCGTCTCTGGTTTATGTTAAACGATCTCAATTACGGGAACGCTTGTCCAGAATCCCGTTTGGCCAATAAAGGCGGCTAGGCTCATGGGGGGGCCGCGATAATCGACGACGAAAATTCGCTCTAACGAGCGCTAACGAATCCTTCCGCAGCTCGAGCCATCTGTAGGATCGTCGTTAATGGGGTACCAACCCTGTTGCGAGCCCTCGACGCCCCGGGGCCAGCGAATTCCGACTAAAAATAATAGAACCGCGCCGCGGGGGCACCCTGTAACGAGGATCCCGGTGACAGGCCACGCGACTGCCTTCTCGCCCGATAGAAGTCCCGATTTTTTGACTTTATAATCTCACCGAGCATGGTGCTTTCTCACAAGGGGGTAGACGGAAGCACAGTTTGAATCGTTTCTCATAAAATAATGTCCAGACATCGATTGCTCTCTCAGACACTCAACAAATGTCAAACCCGCGTATTGTGCGTTGCTCGTAAGTTGGCGATCGAATAAACAGGCTCGCCCTTTAAATTGATAATTGCAGCGACTATAAACAATCGTGTTTCATTGACTATGAATCGCCAACTAGCCAGCAATGCAGGGTACACCGAGTATCACGAGCGAAGGAAACGTCACTGACTTACCGTGCACCCTCTCGGACAGAACGTCACCCAGAAGATCCCTTATTAGAAACGACTTGTGCTCTTGCATCATCGTACTCCTCTCGTCGAACAAGAACCAACCGACGGAACCGCGGGCCAGCGAGTACCTCAAACGAACCGGATCGCGCGTATCGGCTGAACGGAACGTAGAAATCGGCGCGAGAACACCTCAGCAACGGACTCGAGTTTCATGCTAACGTGCGGACGCCCAGCGTCGTTCTGCGTCACCGAGGATCACGGGGGATGACCGGATGTGCCTATCCGAGCCTGGCATAGACGTCGTCGTCGTCGTCGATCGCACGTTGCCGAACCACCCTCTCCCCGGAGACGAGAGGGGGGAGGGGGCGGTGGAAGCGTTACCACGCGAGTTAGGCCAGGGGTTGCGCCGCGCCACCCCGCTCCAATTAATCCGCCCGTTTATTTTGAACGGGCTGCCTAATGCCCGCGCGATTTCGCAGCCATTTTGGGGGTAGAAGCGCCATGCCACCCCCACTCCGCGCGGCTCTCGGTTCGTCCATTGGTCGCGTTAACTCGCCAACGAAGGGTGGAAAGCGCGGGCTGCTCGACGCCATTGGTCGGGCGAAAGCGGCCTGCGCGAAAAGGGGTTGGCTCTGGCGGCAACCCCTGACGGAGACGCGGCTCGAGTGTAGCGGAAATTCGAGGCTAGCGGGATTTCGGTGCACGCTTCGGGAAGCGCACGGGGTTCGCGAGCATCGAGTTCCGTGCAACCGAACCCGTGGGTGGGGGACAAGAGAGAGAGAGCGAGAGAGAGAGAGAGAAAAGTCATTGGCGAGCGATTACCGCGAAACGAGAGGAACAAATTGGATGTGAAACGTTTCTCCGGGAGTATAGAGAGAATATGCCGGGTACAGTCGCTCGCCGTGATATCGAGATTGTTCTTCCTCTTCCTCCTCCGCGGGGCGGCGGTTTAACCGACGTTCCTCCCGCGTTCTACGCGCTCCCTTTTGCGGCTTCGACTTTTCCGCGCCGCGAGTCACCGGCAAACGGCGCGAAGGGAATATCCGAACGCTTCGAAATACATTATTCCTTGACGAATGGTTCTTTTTTTTTTTTAGAACGCGTACAGGCTAGACTCTAACGAAGTCAATTTCAGGCGGATGGGAACGCAGCGGCGGGAAAGTGGCGCGAGAGAACGCCGCGAACGCGCGCTCGAGCATTTGCATAAATACGGTCCTCGCAATTTGCGGAACACTCGCCGGAGGGCCGCTCCGTCATCTTGCGCGGCTAGTATGTGAGCGTAAATATGCATGATGCATGAAACCACCAATCCTCGACACCGCCTTCAACCCCCTTCCGCGAGACCCTTTTCTCCGTGCCGGGGGTTTTCGCAGCGCCCCGTTACTCTATTCATCGCGTCGCTACTTATCTTCCGGGGAGCATTCGCGCGACTCTATGGCTCCGCGCGCGTATTCCCTCGCTTTCTATACCTAAATATTTCCCGTTCTGTAAAATCAGCCGCGCTGAACTTTCGACGATCCAGTTCGCTGACCCCGAGATCTTCTTTTCTGCGTTGCTTAATTAACGAATTGCCTGAATTATCCTTCGATATTTGCTTTTATCAATTCGCTAGATACCCCGTTGCGTTTTCTAAAGATCGCTGAAGCGTCGAGTAAGGTGTGAACATTCTTTCTAGCGGAGATATTCTAACGATCATCGTTCCAAGTTCGTTCATACGTCTACGATATCGTTGAATCTTTACAAGTAGATATTACAAAGACGATGCAATGACCGCTGGTCTCGTTTTTCCGCCGAGTTTCGAGACCGTGCGAACGAATAAATAAATATTTACCCTATCGATCGCCCCGTGACGGGGGTTGTTCGTGGAATTTTTGGCAACGCGACACCGCGTGGCGTCGCATAAAATGCGCGGACCTCGCGCGAGCGTGCAGAGAGAGGAAACGAGCGTCCGTGTGGGATACGTCGATGTGGGGTGGTATTTTAATGGCTCGGTTCGTGGCCTCGAGTTTGCGTGCTGGCACCTGTAAGCGGAACCCCTCGTCGGCGTACCCCCGTAGTCGGACACGACGGGGCGCGTTTGTGAATTCATTAGGATTAACGTATGCAGGGGATTAATTCAAGGGGCAGCAAAGCGGCCCGGCGTCTTCTTCGTGCTCGCTGGAAAAGGGCCTCGGTGCCGCGCAAACGGTGGAATAAATGCATGAAGACGGAATAAATTGAGTGCCGTCGAGTCGCGGAAACAAAGACAATACCGATAACTTCGACGAAAGAACGTTCCTCTTCGGGGGTAGGGACAATTTTCGACGCGGCACGCGCGGTTCCCCGTCGTCGTCGCCGCGCTCGTTATTTCGTGTCCAATCCAATTAGAATCAAGGGTCTCGATACCTTTTCAAAGGTGTCAATTACTGAATATCAAATCGTGGATTATACGTCGGGAACTCCTCCTTGGATCGCTGTCTTTTCGCTCCACCTGGAAAGAGATTGCTCGAATGTATTCTTGGATTCTCGATAAATAGGACCGGGAAGATGCAGAATTTGGTACGAATTTGGGGCGAATTTCGACGCTGCTGATCGCATCTGTCGGGATTTACACGGAACCGAATCAATGGAAATTAGGCCGGAGGGTTGGTCGCGAATTGCCTGGAAATCATCCCCCTCGACGGGCGATTGTTATCGGTAATTTGCGATATTTGCTCCCCCGTGGGACACGAAATTTCGTCCCGATCCAGCCACCTCCGGGCGCGATGGACAAATGGGATTCGACTACGGGGGTGAATCTCTTTTCTATACCGCGGGACTACAGGGGACGATCGCGAATTAGCGATAGAAACGCGTTCAATTACTCTTATCCGCCGCGTATTTAGATATTCTAAACAAGTAACGCGTAATTGCCGCGTAGATTATATACAAGGATCAACAAGATATCGCTAAGAATAAAAAAAAGTAATGAAAACGCTATATTATTGACGTAATAGTATTACTGAAACGGGCAAAAAATGTGGAACGCTTCACGATTTTGCGTGTCATCCTTGCGCAGGGGCCATGCTAATCTTCTCTGTATCGTTCCAATTTTAGTATATGTACTGCCGAAGCAAGTACATTTGTACCTTCGTTCGAGGTCGTATATATAGAAACGAAGGCCCCCTGAAACACTTGCGAGAGAAACTTGCTCCGATATGCCATCTCCCGGCAACTAGAACGTACTAACCCCTGTGGCGCACCTGTGATGCGAGGTAGCCGCCATTTTGAAAGGTTTACCTGTTCAGGAGGACTGGCCCATGCGCACGCGTTATTGTAAACTGTTGCATAACATAAATATACTAACCACAGAAATTATTAATAAATATCAGCAATTAAATTCTCTGAACGATATAGCAACATAGGCGCGAGATTGGAAAGCGATTCTATGTTTAAATGTTATATAATTATTTAAATTTTATTGCCTATATGTTATTCATACGTCTATCTTTTATATTTAATAGAAGCTAGTGATTAAAAATAATTTGTTCTCGAAGAGATTAAATTATTTATAAGTTGTTAACCATAGGTCAAGTAGATTCCGACCTACAGCGCTCTAATACAATTCACTCTACCATAAGACTTAGGCGTTGATACTTTCTGGATAAATTAATAATGTTTTAATCAAAAACTTATTAGGAATGCTATTTAAAAAAGGTGTGGTAAATATATAAGTATTTATCGTATCCCCTAAAGATGTCTATTTTACCGATCATAGGAAAAGAAATTCGTAGAAAATAAATAAAATAGAAATTACTGCAAAAAATGTGGAACGCTTCACGATTTTGCGTGTCATCCTTGCGCAGGGGCCATGCTAATCTTCTCTGTATCGTTCCAATTTTAGTATATGTACTGCCGAAGCAAGTACATTAGTACCCTCGTTCGAGGTCGTATATATACAAACGGGGCGCCACTGGAACGCTTGCGAGAAACGTAGGCCATCTAGGTACCTTAAAGCATATCAGACATGTGACACGTACATAGACATACATGTGTGAGCTATAGTTAGGCACTCACAATCAGAAATTACAATATCAATACATCTTAAATACTTATATCTTTCGAAGCTCGACTCTCAACTACTGTCTGTTATGTTAGCTTCGATTCTAAGTTCCATACAGTTAATATGAACACGCTTATCGCGAGATCCCTCCAATCTGATTATTTTCCACGTAATCTTAGATGCGAAGGGAGGAACAAAGAGCCGTAATTATTCAAAGGAAACGGGTTTTCCTCGACAGGAGGCATGCGGATCTGGTTCGATGGAACGAGACGAACGAAGTTCGATCTACCGCGAGCTCCCCGGGAGTCTGAATGATTATCAATAATAGAGTCGCGGTCGTCGATCGAGTCGAGACGAATTGGTAAATACGGATAAAAAAAAAACAGTGGAGAGGATATCACGGTGGAGCGATTTAGAACAGTGAGAGTCGGTAGGGATGATTCGCGAGGCGAAGAGGGAAGAGGAGGAGGAGGAACGAGTGGGAGGAGGGAGGGATCAAAACCGCGATGCCACAAGGGCTTCGAAATCGTTAACAATCGCGGCAAAAGCAAAATCCATTGAGGTGCGACCACGCGTGTGAATATAACTGTCGATCTGAATATTCTGCGCGGAGCAGCATCGTCCAGTGCCGTATCCGCGAAAAACGAGGGGGGGGCAGCCTGCTCGTTTCCCATCGGGAAATAAAAGAGGTGCGATCGAAAAGAACGATTCTGTTTACAGCGACTAACAATCGCGGTTCGATATTCCTGATATCGAATATTTTTTATTTTCTCCTCCCTACCGCCGACGAATTCTTTGTATTCTTTTTTACTTGTTTTCCCCTCTCCACTTTTGCTCGAAACCGTTTGTTGATTCAAAAGTTTTTCGAACCAAAGGGTACAAAGTCGTTCGCGCAATGTTTTCTTCTCGAGGGGGAGGAGAGAAAAAAAACGTGGCGAATAAAAGGGAAGACGAGAAACGCGAGGGTTGGTATCTGCTCAGCCCATTGCTACGAGTTCACGGGTTAAACAGAGCAAAAGGTCCCGGGATGTATACGTTCTCGTTTCTCGTTG